TAATCTTTTTAAAATTTTTACTTCATTTCGTTACATCGAAGAAGTTAGGATTTCATTACCTTCCTCGAAACCAGAATCGATCAAATAAGGATCGATCCAAGGTCACTTCCATTTTATTACCAGTTCATCGTCAGATCTGCAAGGTTTCTATCCTATTTAAGAAAATCTTAACGGATATTATATCATATTCTGCAAATGGCTATGCTTTTGTATATAGCAAAACTCAAGCACTTATTCGCAAAAAGAAGTTTGTAAATTTTTTCTTCAATAAAAAAACTTTTGGTATTTCATTGAACTAATTTGAAGCATTGATAAATCTAAAAATTTCGTCTTAAAATTTTTTGAAAAGGTGAAGCGACATTTAGATTTCATATGGTATAGGTTTTTAAACATTGTTTTAGGTTCATGGGAAGGCTTAAATTCTAAATATATCGTTAGATGTTTACTATACAATTTATTTGTCAGAAAGTTGAAATACAATGATGAATTTACGATCGACATGAAGAATGATTATTCGGTCACTTTTTTTATAGAATGACTGATAATTTCGTAAATTAAGATTTCGTCGGTCATTGCACGAAATCCAAATCTCAATAAAAATATTCTGTTGGAAATTTAAGAGTTTATTAAGATGAATTAAAAATATACCTGTAAATAAATTGTAAATGTTGTCAATAGGTAAATCTTATTATTACAAATTGTATCCACGAACTCGTGACATTTGAACGACCGACCAAAAAAATATGTATACAATCGCCACTGATCGTTTTGCGTGAAGTCAGATTGGTCAATAAAAATTCAATTTATTTCCGGGTTTTCTTTTTTCCTATGCTACTTAATGGAAATAAAAATGAAGAGTTATTTTTGTGCTAAAAGAAATTGATCTTCTAAGTAAAACATTAAAGCATTTTCCAAGGTATTCGTACAATAGAAGGATACAACATAAACTTTGTGTTTGAACAGAAATTAAAAATTAAAATCAATATTGTGTTTATTTTAAAGAGTAAAATATTTTTTGTCAAATTTGCCAGGTGGCATATGTACTTTTATTTATCGAATTTATAAAACTTTTTTAATGAATTTCTCCAACAATTTTCCCTGAAAAATTAATTTAAATTTATTTCTAAAAATGATATCATTCCTGTTGGCTCCCGCATTACATTAATTAGATTAATAAAGAATTATGCATGTATTTTGAGATAATTTAAAAAATCTCCTGGGTAAAAAATTCCTTGATGTAATTCTTAGTAAAGGATGTAACTTTTTGCTATTTATGGATCGGATTGTTAAATAAGATTGATGAATTTGTAACTGAATAACACTTTTTGAAATGAATAAAAGTTATAACAAATTAAAGACATCATGTAAGTTTTGCTTCTGCATGGTTGCGAAACATCTTTAACTTATATAAAACTGCATTGTCCTTAAACAGCTTCTGTTTAAGGCATCACAATGCAGACATAACCATACATCAGTTAGCCGTCAAACAAACGATAATGTTTGTTCCTGGTCTAATTTAACAATGCAACAGACATGTTAACCTGTCGACACAGCAATCACACCCGAAAAACAAGACATAAAACTTACACACTAATTGTCATTATGTAAACAAGTGTGTTTCTGCACAGCAGCTTGCTAAAGATCTGACGACACGTCTTTAAGACAATAGGTGGCAATGTAGCGCCGCCCCAGGACACAATAAACGTCAGAAAAGCCGGCCAGGCCGTGCCGTCAGATCTCAAGGCTTGTAACTAACCAGAGTAGCAATATCACGCAAACACAGAGGAGTTGGTCACTCTATCAATGGAGCACATTGTTACCTAGTCTTACTAATGTTTAAGATAATGGTTATACTTATTATTTGACATGAAGGAACGTTTACGAGCGGTGTCTAACGTGTAGGCTTTGAGCCAAAAAGCAAAATTAGATTTCATAAAAATTGAAAAATTTGAAAATTTGAAATTTATGAACTTTTTTTAATCCAGTGCAAGGATGTCACAATTTGGGATTTATTTTCTAGGAATATTTCTTCTGTGTTTCGGTAAGTATATTTTTGCTTGTTAACTTTAGAGATAAAAAATACAAATGTCTTAATTTGAAATATATTATTGGTGATAATAAGCGAAATTTGATTTTGCCTTAAGAATAAGTTAAGTTTGCATTGCCGTGTTAGATGCTTGCACTTAAATTGCGGTAGATACTTTTCATAAATCTATATAGGGGATACCATCGACTTATTTTACTATACAGATGAACATTTTGATTTTCTTTTGATGCCTACAAAACACATCATTTGCGTTGAGTTGCAACGCAATTTAAGTTTAACTTTGTCTAAAGCATACAATGAATTTAAACTGGCAAAGAACAAATGTATTGTTAAATTATTTAAATGCTAGAATGCTTAACGACTTCTTTCTAGGAAGAAAAAAAATAATATGACTATGCGTTATTTGATTTCTTCTTATCGAAGGAAACAAAAATCATAGCATGTAATGAAGATATCAAGCACTGAAAACAATACTAGTATTCTGATACGCAAAAAGAAAGTCATGTTTTGATAAAGTATGCGGAAATCAGACCACAAACTCAGCCATATCAACGGTCAAATCACCCCATGATTGGGTTTCAATGCCGGTTTTTGGTTGACCATCATCTAAGACTCTCTCACGATGTACGAGTCATGTGTTTGTTCAATGACTTCGTGATTTGTGATTTTAAATTTAGACGCGTTAACAAGTTGCAAAGAAGGGGAGGCAATAATGATTTTTAAGCGGTTGTGTTTCCTAAATAAACATCCTTCCTATTGTAAATGACATACCCTACCATAAATAGAAGAATTTTTTGGAAAACATATGAGGGTAAAAAAGGCAAGGGCAAAATAAAATTAAAAGTTCAATTATTGAAATATTTTGTTGTGTATTACTTGCTATGTTGTAGGAATGTTAAAAGATTTTTATTCATAAAAAATACACAATATCAATAAAACGGCACTGGTATTTAGCCCCCAAAAGCCGTTGTTTTAGCCAATCTTCATCCCGTCTCAAGAATTTGTAGGTGGAATATATACACACGTTTTGTACCAAAAGGAGTTCAGCCTTGCCTCTCACCACCTGCAGAAACACTAATGGTGAAAGGTGGACAATGGCCCCTGAGAAGCAAGTTGTAGGAGTCTCGTGTCGTAAACATATCGCGTATTATTATTCTACTGTTCATTTGAACTCTCATCCATTGACCATAAACGTCCTGTTCATGTTCTTCTCGTTCCGAAACTGGAATGAAGCATAGAAAATACTCTATTTCTTGTAACAAAATATTTCTTACGTAAATATTTTTTGTATTGTTGTACTTTTTATGAAAGCTTCTTTTGTGTCTGTGTGTGTTGTGGACCTTAAAAACTTACCAATAACCCTTGATGAACACCCACATTTTGTGTATTCTTTTGATAACAGTGTCTTAACAGGTCTTAACTGTCGTCTTTTTCTTCTAAATACGTTTCAATTATCTTTTGCAGCTCTGTCACAAGCAAATCGTAAGTACACGTTTCAACTTTCGGTCATATTAGCACATATACCGTATTTCACCAAAATTTACTTTGAAAATGATAGTTTGTGTTATGAATTTGTAAAGTTTTGAATTTTTTATTCAAATAAAAGTTTGTAGAAAATAATCATGTTATACCAGATTCCTAAACACCTAATTAATGAATTTATATTTTGAATTTCCGTTTCAGATTTAACAAGAAACAGAACACTAAGTAAGAAGACATCTTTTTAAGAAGAGAAATGTTCTTGAATGAGATAAAAATTATTTTACTTTACATTTTTTTTTCAAATTTAATTATCTTTTTGTCCACTTTTGTCCTGCAAGCTATGTTGAAAATATTTGTATGGTACTTATGAAAATATTACATTTCGTTTGGAAAATCACCAGCATTAAAAACTCCGAAAAGAATTATGAGTAAACAGAGGGTATATGAACCTTAAAAGGTATTGAAAATACTATATCACAAAATGTTTTGAAAATTGCAGCTCGAGATCAGCTATTACGTAGAAGAACATTACTCACAGGGAGAACAAATGGTAACAATGGCGTCCAAAGAGGCCGAGGGAATCTGAATGGAAGAGCGGGAACTTTGAATGGAAGAACAGGAACTCTTACAGGAACCGTCGGAACTCCTCGTACAAGTCTCCCGGGAGCGACTACGGCCTCTCAGAGGGAAATCGACAGAGTGATTCTAACACCAGTACAAGATGGCGCAGTTCGATCCTTAAGGAATCTTTTAAGTACTAGAAGAGGTCGAGGAAATCCAAGACTTATTGGTAAACTCTTTAACATAACTGCACTTTGCAATTTTCTTGATTATCTTAATTGTACTTTTTTTAAAGTTGTTTTTATCTCAAAGGAAAAGCCATTCTAATGTACATTAAAAGATTTAATATATATTTTACTTCAGGGTTTCTCATCCCAAGAGCAGATGGCAGAACTCAGTTGAGATTGATGAGAGGCAAGTTTAATGGAGTTTGAAAATATTAGATTTATACATGAGTGAACAGTTGCGATAGTCTCCATTATTATGTAGAACTTGCTTTGTATAGTTTTAGAGTATCTGTGGTTGGCTTACTAGATTTGACAATGTCAAAAGCGCATGCCTCTGCACATACAAATATATGAATAAAATACAATTTACTTTCACGTTTTTTCTTATTTAAGGTTAGAATATGAATTATAGTAAAATGTGCCAATAAGTTATAGATGGTAACTGTTCTCTATATACTCAATCACAGATGCTTTGTTTTACAATAATATTACCGTAGAAATTTTTAGAGCTTAGTCATCAATATCTTATGTAGCTATAGCATAGTTACTTAGATGTAGCTGTTATTATCCAAAGCTATGGTAGGACTTATACAGTAGTTTAACAGATTATGCTAGCGAAAATTGGAGACACTCTGCAATATACTAAAATGAGCTTATTACATAACACAAAACTTTCCATTATAGGAGCAGAACGATTCTTAAGAAATGGCCGAGGAGGTAATTTTGTTGCACGGGAGTTGGCTTTTAGCATGAAAAAACGCTTCATGATCATTTAAAATTAGATAATTCCAAATAATCAATATCTATTGTCTTATTGCACCGAATTTAAGCAAAAAAAAAAAAAAATAAAAAAATAAAAAAAATAAACAGTATTTTCCGTGTCAAAATTTTAAAATGAATATCGGACATAGTTATCTGAATTCATTTTTTTACAAAGTAAATTGCTACCAGTCAGTAAATTCAATTTGGCTCATATGGGCCATAAAAACACCAGTCTCATAAAACACCAATGCGTCAAAGCAATATGAATAAAATTAATTTTGATGATTCTGATATGGTTGCTTTCCAAGAAAGAGACCAGTATTTTCGATATACTTTAGTATAAATGCATTTTGTATGGTCATCAAGCGCCTGTTTTAAGATGATTAATTTGCAGCTAATTACTCACCCAGACGTCGTTTTATGACTTGTCTATTCTCTGCATTGCTGGAAAAATAATTGCACATTGATTGTTAGAAAATTACGAGTATTCACAGCACCGCCCCTCAGTGGAGGACAGGAGAAATTCAGAAGAAAAAAATGATTTTAATATACTTACAAAGGCACAAACTTGATGCAGCATCTTTGTTTCAGATTTGTGATAAAATCTTCTTTATGAATATGCTTGTTTCTAGTTCTTTACTAAATTACTTTCAATCTAATACATAACCCTTTTCTATTACAATAGAGATAATACAAACGGCAATTTTATTTTCAAAAAAAAAACTGTGGTACGAAAGGAAATATAATTCAGTAAATATTGTTTACCTTAAAATCGAAGTAAAGGGTTTGGATTTTCATACTTAATATCAAAAAAGTGATTTTGAATACAGTTGAACAATGCTTCAAAGTATTGTTGTAGTACGTTATTAACATATACATTCCTCTTTTGCAGACAACCGAGGTAATCGCGTGAACATGAATGAACTGCCTTTTAACATCAGGACCATTGTTGCAGCAGCAAGGCGTGCCAATCTTCTTCCGTCCAGAAACGGAACTAGAGGTAAAAAACAGAAAGAACAAAAACCAACGGAGTTGGTTTTTCCGTTTTATGGTTTTTTAACGATAAGTATATATGAATTCAACTTCTTAGGAAATCATTTTTACAACTGCAAATCTACTGGGACTTTATATGTAGAAAAGCTTAAATTGGAAAAATATGTATCATGCTTTTATGGAAATTAAACTGTTCTTAAAAGTAGTACATACTATAGCGATAGTAATAAAAAAGTAAATGACAAATATTCATATTTGTTTCGCATCAATAATCAGGTTCCCTTAAACAGTGATGTTTCCAAACACAATACAATTTTTAGATAAAGAGTAAACGTTTTTGTAACGTTTCTGTTTATGTGTTTAGTTAGGAATAGAACACCTCCAATAGTTGTTCTTCGTTCGCCAAACAGAGGTAAGGCGCGGATCAAAAGGTTGTAATTTGGGATAATACTGAATATATAAATATAAGCATTTAGGTGACGTGAAATATATACCCATCTGTATAATGGCATTTTCTATATATATTTATGTTTTAATATGAATATCATAATTCATTACTTTAAAATTCTCAAGTTCTTGTAAAGCGTGCAACTTTTATTCGCGTGCGAATAGTTTCCGCGAGTTTCGCGACCTTGCTTTACATGCAAATATTTCTCAGCGCGAAATATTTATTACATTGCATAATCACAGAGTACTTGCATTTCCTCAGGCGCTGAAATTATTGCTGCAAACAAATTTCAATTCAAAAAATCGCGAATAAAAGTTGCTGACAATCAGAAGTCATTTTAATTACTTCGGTCGGGTTTAATAATCTATGGATGTTTGCTTTGTATTTTGTCTAAAATATAAGTGTGTAGCAAATTACTTTTTTCTATGTAGTCATGCTCATAAATATAACCGTATATTTAACAAGAATGAACTATATGACAATCTACTTATTACTAAAAACAGTGACTGGGTGTTCTATATTGATGCATGGAATGCACAGAATGTATATATTTATATATCATTTTGGATATATTTTTAGTATGATATACGCATTTTTCACGTGTTAAAATTTGAGCTGAGTACCAATATTATGAGCTCTCAATACGTATATATATTTTAGAATTATATATATGCATGCTTAAACAAATATTTTTAAGTTGCAATATGCTTCATATTCAAATATTTGCATGCAAGCATGTATTGGTTGGAATAATTGGTCTCTGAAATTGGTTTCATATTTTCCTAAGAACGAGTTCATTGATAAGCAAACTACAGGAAAAAAATATATATATTGGTAGACTACAGCACTTCATTCAGAACAAAAATAAATAAACAAAAATTAAAAATTGATATGTCTACTTTTTCACTTTTTTAGGATTTCAACAATCCAGAAGAATAGCTACAGTCGGAGGTTTGGGAAGGGGCCAGAACGGAAATCAAGACACACAAGCAAATTCTGATCCAGATTCTGGAGGAGAAACTATTAAGCAAAGGACTGTGAATATCGAAGTCAATGTACAAAGTCCAGACACACCTTCACCAAGTCCCACGCCTCAAAACCCGAACCCAACAGCCACAAACCCTGGAATGTTGAACCCGACGATGGCAAATCAACAACCTGGATTTATGAACAGTATGGGTCCAGTTGGTGGTATCAATCCTTTTCCAAATCAAAGACAGCAACCTGGAATGGATATAATGAATGGGTTTAATAGGTTTAACCCACCCAATTCCAGAAATAGTATTGAAAATAATAACAGACCATCAGATGACAGAAGTTCAAGTTCATCAAATTCAGGTGGTGGAAATATTAATATTGGACTTGGAATTGGAGTTGGCTCTTCAAATCCAGTTGTGCCTCCAAAACCTGCTTCCACAAATACACCTTCTTCACAGTTCGGTGGTGTACAAAACGTTGCTCAAAATGTACAACCAACTCCGCCTAATCCTTTCCCACAAGGTTTTAATGATCAGCAAGGAGGAACGAGTTCATTTGATCCGATGGGTTTTTCAGGGGTACCCCAAACTGGATTTCCCGGCAGTCCACAAACTGGATTTCCCGGAAGTCCACAAACAGCCTTCCCCGGTAGTCCACAAAATTCTTTTTCTACAAACGATCAATCTGCCTTTCCACCCAGTCAGATCAGTTTTCCTTCAAATCCACAAACTGGCTTCCCACCAAACAATAAATTTCAGACAAATACGAACAACCCCTCTGTCCCTACACTCCAAAGATTCGATCAACAGCCTCCCTCTCTCCCCGGAGCTGTATCTTCCAGCAACTCTATGCCTTGGAATCCTTTTCCGTCGAATGCTGGAAACTTTGGACAAGACACAGGTTCTTTAGCAAACACTAATACCTTAATAAACAATAACCAAAATAATTTATTTGCTAACAATATGCAGCGATCAAATGTTAATGGCATGCAAGGACAAAGAAATTCATTTCAGCAATCAATTGGCATGGTTCAACCAAATCAGTTTAATGCAATGCCACCTCAACAGTTTAATAATCTTACATCTAACCAGAATTTTGCTAGTTCTCAATTGCTTAATTCTCAAACTTCAACAGGATCTATTGGATCGGCTGTTGGTGGTTTTGGCGGAGTGCAAAATCCAAGTTTTCTTCAAAATGCTGGAAACTCTTTCCAACAAGGATCATTAATGGGAGGTGATCCTACAATTGGTGAACCGATGATAATTGATAATGGAGGACGGACAACTGTTGTTGTGGATAATATAACATTCACCGGCGTTCTTCCACCAGGACCACCTGTGATAAAGACACAAGTGATAAATGGAAAAGGCTCGGTGCATTTAAATCCATTAGTTTCTTCTGGGGCAGCTACAGATTCATTCGGAAGAAATTTCCCAACACAGTTGCAGTTCACAAATCCAAATGACTTGAATTCAATAAATCAGAACTTCCCATTGAGTGCAGAAAATAACCAAATATTTCCAAATCAACAATTATTAGGAATTCAAGCAACACAAGGTACTAAAAGTCCAGTTGAACCCCAAATGAACCAAGATACCTCTTTCGCGACTCCTACTTCAATATTTGTTAATACCTCCGGTCTTCTCAATCTCACCAAACCTCAAGGAAATATCGACATGTCATTATTATCAAATAACTCTACTCTTGTAGCACTTAATGCAACTAACCAACAGCAAATGATAGATATTTCGATACCCCTTAATACTAATCCCATAGTAGCAACTAGCAATAATATAGGAACAGCATTTTCGGGGAGTAATGTAGCCGTAGCTTTGGGTAAAGGTACATCCTCAGGCAACGTGTTGCCGTCTGGAACCAACGTAACTGGAACAGAGGGAACAGGACCAATTGATGCACATAGACACATAGGTGAACATCTATTAGTTGCCACAAGTTCCATTTCTATGCAACCACAGGCCTTTATGACATCAACCCTCCCGAGTGTAGACTTGCAAGGTTTATCCACCACAAAGCCAACCAATATCATTGTGAATGATCCACAACTCCAAGTTGTGAATAATATCCCCCAAGACATTGGAATGTCTTCTATAGTTGGAGGAATTCCTAAAGAAATTTCCTCTACCGTTACTGGTGGTATTTCTGAAGGAGTATCATTAACAAAAACTGGAAACATCCCAACAGGATTGTCTTCTACGATAACTGAAAACGTACCAATAAAATCTTCACCAGTCAGTGAAAATATCCTTACTGGAATCTCGTCTTCACTAACTGGAAATGTCACTGATCGAGTAGGTCAAATCCAAGGTGATATTTTACAGGCAAAGGTTCCACAAGTAACTGATAATGTTCCAACTTCTGCAGAGCTCAATCCAATAAAAAGTAATCCGTTGTTAGAATTGCAACGCCAACAACAAATTCTACAGATGCATAGATTGGCACTTTTAAGAAGAAGAGAGGAACAACTCAATACATTAAGAAAACAATTGCTTCAAATTGAATTAACAGGTAGGGATTTTATCATAATTTATTTAATTAAAATATTCTATCTATAAAAGATTTTATGGGATCTTAACAAATATAAGAACAAACTTGTGATACACATATTTTTCTTCAGATATGGAACAAATAAAGAAAAATATACATTTTTAAAGACAATTATAACAATATCAATAAACAAATAAGGCGTTTGCATATGTCAGTATGAATATCTAATGTCATTGATATAAATCACAGAAAGGTGTCTAAGAATAGAGGGGCATGAAAACTACACGGAAGATGTAAAATGTCACGATTCGTGAATATGAATTGGTTAGTGACCCATATAACGATTGTCAAATGACTTTCGTACAATAAAAATGATATACACTACATTATACGCAGAAAAAAGAAGACATCCCCCAATTCGTAGGCAATAGTTTTGTGTTTTCTGTCAGAAAAGGGATAATCAGAAATTATTCATAAAACTGGCCCGTCAATCTGATCATTAATGTAATGACATGCAAATATCCAATCTTTTGTGTTGTTTTTAAATAATAAACAACTAGACATTTCTTTGCTTTTGATGGTTTTTTGCTCTTTATATGTACTTTTGTTCAGCTGCAATGCATGAAAAGTAACAAATCATTGTTGTAACTGCTTTTTAATTGAACCTTCACAACAATAGCATAAATATTTGTTTTGTAATTCACTTACAGTAATCAAGAAGGCATGTAATTCAGATAATAATACTAGTATTTTATACAATGAACTATGGAGATAACGATCGGTAAACAAGCTAAAAATCCACATAGAAACAATGTAGGGTGAGTTCACCATGCATCGGACACATACCTTGCTTCGGACAACTTTAGGCAATAAACTCTCTTTCAACTTAAGATTTCTGTGTATTTATTTGTTTCTGTCATAAAGACAAAGATTTAAATTTTTTAATGATATCGATTGTGTTTATCATGTTGTGATAAAAATACCCCGCAAATGGCCTTGAAGTTACGTCATATTTTACATCATCAAAGGGGAATAACCCGAAATTTATGATTTTGCAATTTTTAGAGTTATCGTTCTTTTAAATTCGACTTCCACGGAATGAGTCGGACTTTGGTGAATTTTGTCAGGGATAGGTAATTTTACATAAATTATAATTAAATTTCACTTCGATGTTTGTTTAATTCTTATTAGAGCTGGTTTTTACTAGTACGCTATTTTCACCGTACATCGGACAAAAATTAACCATGCATCGGATACTTTTCGATGCAAAGATAAGCACTATCATTTTCATACAGAACCCAGCTGACAGCTGTTTTTTGCGGAAAATAAAAACTTATTTTCAGTCAAAATACAAGTTATCGATATATGACGTCTGGAATTTTACTCAATTTATTTCTACAAACCAGGTGATAAACCATGAGAAAAAAGGCGCGAATTACGGCATTATAAGCATTCAAAAGCATTTCTAAGGCAGAGTGAGGTCTCGAGAATCGTTCTACATTTGTGCAATAATATCGTCGATTAAATTAAAGTTGAGGGTTATTTCTTAGATAAAAGATGAAAAGATATCCATATCAAGGATTTTAAAGCACTGTGATAAAGGTATGATATTTTTCCGATCTCCATACCGTCTGTCCGATGCATGGTGAACAATGTCCGATCCATGGTAAATTTTCAGTTTTTTCTAAAAACTCGATTTTTGGGATATTTTCTCAAGAAACGGCATATAATTGTGTCCTAAATTGTTATTTTAATCACAAACTAAATGTTAAACTCCATTTTGATAATTTTCCGTCGGTAGCGATATCGCTAGAACTTGTTGAAGTACAAGGGTATCCGATGCATGGTGAATTCACCCTAACTGATGAGCTGAAAAAAACATGGACCTCTAAAACATCAGAGATGGGATCAGATGCCATGGATAATAATGTTGAATACTGGTTTTGTCATTTCTTGCTTATGTCATCAAATAGAAACATCACTTAATATCAAATATATTTAACGATTATAGGCAACAAGAGACAACCAGTGCAACGGACCCCTTTGACTCCAGTGAAAACAAAAGACATGAGGATTTTAGAAAACCTCAAACCAGCAGCTACGGCCCCAAAGACCACTGCATCATCAACAGTCGCCTTTATGAATGTGGATTCATTGAGATCTCTCATAGAAGAAATTCTTCATGGTTTCTTCAAGAAGCAGAATATTCTTACGGGATTGGCTGTTCCCTCGAGTGGAAGTGCAGCTGTTGTAGACACATCCAAAAGCATTTCGCCAAACCTTAACACGGTGTCCAGAATGGACCTTAAATCATTACAACAAAATGTTGTTCCAGGTAAAAGTTTGAGACTTTAATCCGTCTTTGTGTCCATTTTATGGCTTTTGACCTAGGCCATGTTTAAATGAACACTTTTTGCAAATATCGAAATTTACTCCTTTTGGATACATATACATGTGGTTATTTAGCAATCCTGGATGTGGCAGAAATCAAAATTCTTTTTTTTTGATTACATTCAAGTTTTGATAAATTGTAATAAAAGTGATATTTTATTGTATAGTTTTACATGAGAACCACCAGGTAGGTTGCGATGTAACGCTATTTACGAAATATATCTACCCTATATATATAAATGGATATAACACGTTGAGTATTTACATATTTCTTGCATGTTCAGGTTAATGCGTATTCTACCAGACTACAAGTGCATCTTTCATATTTTGTTTATTTCCTTTATTCAATCGTTTGTTATTGAAATTAACATCATATATATTTGAGTAGTAAATCTAGAACTCCTCTCATCAAATTATAATATTCAAGTTATTTCGCGTATTACAGTTCAACAAAGAAGTACTTCTCTGCCAGCACTTCTACCAACAACTCCAAGCAATGTTATAAAAACTGATCCAGCAGTTAGTGTAGTGGATCCAAACGCAATACCTCCAACAGAGCCCACCGCGATAGACCCGAATGCTGTGCTTCCGACTGAACCCAGCGTGGTGGATCCAAATGTAACACCTCCCATTGAACCTATTGCGATGGATCCAAATATAGCACCTCCACAAGAACCTATTGTGGTGGATCCAAATGTAGCGCCTCCTACAGAACCCACGGCTCCTTCAGTAACTGACCCAAATATAATTCTTGTGAGGGACCCTAGTGTTCATGCGCATAGTGATGTCGTTACAGTGTCTGACACTCCTGTAATAAATATGCAGGCTACTGAATCTTTTTCAACAATTTTACCTTCTACAACTACGGTTATGCCTCCTGTGACATCCCCTCCTATAATAGATAGTGTTGGTAGCAGCGTGGGACAACCAAGTCTTTCCGGACAAAAACGGAATTTATTTCCAGGAGGAATCGCTGTCCATCCGGAAATTTCTTCATTCCGAACTTCAAATCTGGCAAATTTTCAACAACCAACACCTCCTCAACCTCAATGGAACTTTAATATTCCTCGTCGTGGAGTAAGTCTGCAGGGGATTAGACGAGGAGGTGTTTCCAGTATTCCTGAAATGATCGGAGGGGATCTTTCTAGTACCAACGCCAGAGTAATTGCTCAACAAAATAGGCCTTTACATAATTCAAATTTTAATTTGCAATTTAATCGCCGTCTTCAGGATGTAGGTAAATAGTATTTTTACTTATCAATTTTTATCAAGTAGAATGTTTTAAGACAAATGTTCTTTATTTTTGAAAGTCTCTTGAAAACAATTCCAAAAACACAACATATGCCAATAGTTTATTCGGATCAATGCTAATTGGCGATAATATTTGACATATTTATGATTGTTGACAGTAAACAGTTAGAATGGAATACAAGAGCAGTGGTATGTAAATACCTTGAGAGAGATCAAGGATGAGTGTTAACACTGTTTGGATATTGCTATTATTAATAACGCTTCACTCACAAAACTTGTAACGGCAATGCAGTTTCATTTTGTTCTGTTTTCGTTAATTTAGGATAGGAGAAAAACTCTACATTAGAGCACAAGAGTGCACGTTCCAATGGCAATATTTACAAAAATCAAGATTTTTTTAAAAAGACAAATATAACATATTAAAGTTGCAGAGAAGACGTAAGGTTCTCTAGTTTACTAGCACCATATAAGATTTCAGTTTTCTTTTCGGATAATGCTTTTAAATTTATTATTCTATTCTTCCAGTATTTGACTAAGGGAAACAGGTAAATTCCCTCCTGGGACCACCTTAAAGGACTTTAAACGCAAAATTAGATTTCGTTCACATTATGTTTTCCCCTTCTATTTATGTTTTTGACCCGAAACCCTGTAGAAAGCTTCTCGAATCCCATGTTCGTGTACTTTGTGTTTTTTATGGTTCACTGTTTTGTACATTAAAAAACAATGATGTATTTGTAGTTGCCAGTAGCTCTTAGTATACTAACATAATAATCAAGAGATCATTGTTTTTCAAAAGAATGAAAATAATTTTCTAATATTCATTTGATTAAAGAGCATTATATTTTAGTATTTGGTATAAATTGGAACATCTGAAACGTTAAATGTGATCAATTCTAAAACTTTTGTCACCTTTTATTGTTTTTGGAATAAAAGAAATGATGTGTCAAAAAATATATATTTAATAGATTTATTTTCTGATTTACAGCGATGAGATCTAATGTTAACATACCACTTGGACGACCAGGAGGAGTTCCGGTCCCAATGCTCTAGTGACGACACAGACTCTACATTCGTGTTTGAAATAATACAAAGAAAAAGAAATGACGCCTGGCAAACCACAAATAAAACGTCTCTAAATAATTGCCAGTTACCCTAAAGCTACTCACCTGGGTGCACGCAAGCAGCACCTGTTCAAGTATTCCAAAATCCTTAACCAATCTACCTGCCCAGGAGTGAATATATAATGGAATATGCGAACTCCTTCCTGTAATGTGGGACCTTAAAATTATGATACATTTTACAACTTTCACTTTTCCATGTGTTTCCAAGCATTACAATAAGGCTTCATCAAGGCATCCTTACTTGCGCCTTCAATCATCCATTAAAGTTCTCTTTTCCGGTCCCACCATGAACTACTCATTTATCCTGTCATGTCTCGATGGATCGAGGCGCGGAAGATTAAGAGTTGCAGAAGACATTGTTATAAATGTATATGCAATGTATATAGAAACTTCGATATCTTATGTCTATGATATCTCATTTCTAAAAAATGAAAGAAAGAGAGTACAAATGAGAAATACGCTGTGTGAGTATGCAAATATTTCACTGTGTGAATATAGCAGTCAATTAAAATGGTTCAAGATACTTATACTCGTGTAAATGTCCTTTCATGAAAATAAAATTAAATAAAAAAAAATCAGTCTTTCGAATGCTTGTGGTATATTGCCTGGAATGTGATATGTACGTGTATTTACATGTTCATAACAGTGTGAATTATTAGTCTCAACAATTGTAAGTTGGTAATACTAGTACTAGAATGATCTGTCATCAATCCGTCTGCTTCTCTGATTTGTACTTTCAAAATGATTTATAAATCAGCAAATTTTAAGGATCGTCTTTCTGAAAAGGGGGCTTTTCTCATTAATGTACATCTGATATAAAATAGAATTTTAAAGATGCGCGTGTGTCTGTAAATTTTGAAAATTACGAGAAATACAGTAAAATAAATGACCATTTTAACAAAATTAAAGCTTAAAAAAATGTTTCTGCCACAAAATCTTGGATTGTCTGATTGTGTCTCCAATAACAGAAAAAAGTATCCAACGTCATCAGCATTCAAACGACTTTATTAAGATAATAAAGCAATAAACAAATTTCTTAATAATATTTCACAACAGATTGTTCACATTATTGAACATCAGATTTACAGAAAAACAGAATTCTTAGGCGCCGTTTGGAATATTTTTTGCTGTTGTTTCTAACTTTAAAGAATAATATCAATTTAAGATAAAAACAATTCTACGAAGGAGGCTTTGATAAGGGAGGCTTTAGGTCAAATTTCCAGTTGTGAAGTTATAGCTTTTACAAGGTAAGAACTTTTTCTTAATTGATGAAAAATGCCATGATCAATGTTATTCTTTGAGATTAACACGATGAAACAGTATCTCACAATTAAATGCCAATTAAATGCCATAGTACTGACATGAAATATATGTATCTTTTTAGCGAGGTGAATATTATGTTATAATTTTCTGCCTCTTACATTAAAGGTAAAAATATGTTAACATGCATGAAAAGAACGTTTTCATGTAAGATAGTTAAGTTATCATGAAAGGTATCAATTTTTGTAAAGAATCTGATTTTAAATTAAGTTAAAGTAACTGACATTTTATATGCAAGATGCAAAATAATTAAGTTGATATGCGACATGCGTGTGTCACGTGTTGACATATAATCTCGCTTGCTGACATGAATAAGTTGCAAATCAACTTGATGTCAGATACTGGCGTTAGAACATGTAGGTGAATCTATTCATATTAATATTAGATGCTAAAAGATTTGTTACTCGTACACCCACGTCTGTATAGAGCTTTTGATCGAAACAATTAGTAAAACATACACATCCTTATACATAAAATCCATGCATAACGCAAAAAATATAAAACCTGCAAAAAAAGCAAATATATCGTCTTAAAAGGATATGCTATAATCTAGTTTGATTGTTTGAAAATAATAGTTAAAATTAATTTAAATTTACGTTCATACTACAGGTAAATATTACATGTAGACATAATTATTTAGCTTGTTTAAATACGTTGTCATAATTTAATTTGCATGAAGAAGGCAAAAATATGCCACAAAAAACTAAATATATACATATAAATATATAAAAATCTTTTAATAAGCCAACGTTAAAATTCTCAACAAATCTTTTATTAACTAAGTGCGAAAATCTCTTGAACTCTTCAATGCATTCCATCTGTTTATCAAAAATGACTGGCTATCAAGATAACAGTAAAGTCGGCTAATAACTGCCAGGCGCCTTTTGACCATGGAATGTTATATTTCTAGAACTTAATAGATAAACCACTGCTAATTAGGGGCATTCTTTTAAAAAAAAAATTTTAAAATGTCTCTTTTTTCAAAAATTAATTAAACTAGTATGGTGAAGCCCGGGATCTTCCAAAATGACCTGCTACAAAAAATGCAGTTCTGGTGGTTTGCACTTATAAACCAGAAGTCTCTGTCGAGACTGAAGCTCTACTGGTTTGAACTAATAGCAAAGGAAGAGAAAAATACTTAAGCAGTTGGGAATTGAAACTTTACAACAGCAATAAATAGAATAATGATCCTTGATTAAGTCTCTTTATGTTCTTAGTGTAGTCTACTTGCATGCCACATTATATTAAAATCAGTATGAGACTAAAATTGTATTTGGAGTGGTATTTTGAGAGTATTTAACAGAAATTTCTATTTTTAGTAACAAAGGCAATTATGTTCATCGAAGTCAAAAATTGATATACAGAATTGTGTAACTATCTTAGTGTAATCTACTTGTGTACCAAGTTATACTGAAATCAGTTCAAAACTGTAGGAAAAGTAGCATTTTGAAAGAATTTCACAGAAATTTCTATTTTAGTAACCACTGCAACACCGTTCATCGAAATCAAAAACGAATATACAGAATTGTGTATCTTAGTGTAGTCTACTTGTGTGCCAAGTTATATTGAAATAGGTCTAAAACTGTAGGAAAAGTAGCATTTTGAAAGAATTTACAGAAATTTCTATTTTTATTAACCACGGCAACACCGTTCATCGAAATTAAAAACCAATAAACAGAGTTATGTATCTTAGTGTAATCTACTTGTGTGTCAAGTTATACTGAAATCAGTTGAAAACTGTAGGAAAAGTAGCATTTTGAAAGAATTTCACAGAAATTTCTATTTTTAGTAACCACAAAAACAACATTCATCGAAATCAAAAAGCGATATACAGAATTATATATCTTAGTGTAGTCTACTTGTGTGCCAAGTTATATTGAAATCAGAACAAAACTGTAGGAAAAGTTGCATTCTGGAAGAATTTCACAGAAATTTCTATTTTTAGTAACCACGGCAAGACCGTTCATCGAAATCAAAAACCGATAAATAGAATTATATACCTCAGTGTAGTCTACTTGTGTGCCAAGTTATATTGAAATCATTTTGTTTCACAGAAATTTCTATTTTTATTAACCACAACAACAACGGTCATCGAAATCAAAAACGGATATACAGAATTAAAACTGTAGAAAGCAAAGAGACGTAGCATTTTGAAAGAATTTCACAGAAATTTCTATTTTTAGTAACCACAGCAACAACGTTCATCGAATTCAAAAACCGATAAACAGAATTATGTATCTCAGTGTAGTCTACTTGTGTGCCAAGGTATATTAAAATCAGAACAGAACTGTAGGAGGAGTAGCATTTTGAAAGAATGTCACAGAAATTTCTATTTTTAGTAACCGCGGCAACACCATTCATCGAAATCAAAAACAGATACACAGAATTATGTATCTTAGTGTGGTCTACTTGTGTGCCAAGTTATATTGAAATCAGACCAAAACTGTAAGAGGAGTAGCATTTTGAAAGAATTTCACATAAATTTCTATTTTTAGTAACCACGGAACACCATTCATCGAAATCAAAAACCGATGCAAAGAATTATGTATCTTAATGTAGTCTACTTGTGTGCCAAGTTATACTGAAATCGGATCAAAACTATAGGAGGAGTAGCATTTTGAAAAATTGTTTACAGACGGACGAACGGACGCCGGACGCATTACTTTAGCATAAGCTCTTCTGGTCTCTCACCAGTAGAGCTAAAAAATACGCAGCACCTGAATCGAACTAATAAGAACACCAATGAACAGCCTTTTTCGAAAAAAGGCATTTTTCGATAATTTCTTTTTTCTGGTCTCTGATAAATAAAGCTAAATATCAGCACTCAGTGCTCAAATTGTGGAAGAATAACAAGCTTCTAAAGAGCTTACACGATTTTAAATAATTTTAAAATCAGTATATTTTTTCTTCAATACTGATGACTCTAAAATTTGCAGCCAAACGGTGGCGTCTCAATTTAAGTAATTTAAAATTTAAGTATGGGTGAAAAAAGAAATTCTTGAAAGAAACATTTAACAAACAAATCAATTCTGATGATATATTTATTATCCTAATCATATTCTCTTAGTATAATTTGCCCTACCTAGTTCCTGAAGTGTACAAAGATCAAATATCTGACACTTTTGTCTGTTACTAAATTAAAAGCATACTTAATAATAGGTGGGTATTTACCCTGATATGTGATGATGTTTTTTCATGAGTTGTATATAACCCTCTCCCTGTCGCGGTCTGCGATGGATTGTTAAGATAACCTTGGCAAGTGTATTGTTGATGGATGTTAACGATAACCCTCCATAGGTTACAGTACACAGCCTGCTTTACAAAGATAAACAGAGGGACTTCAAATATCCCTTTTTATTCAATGCACAAGATGTCCATCTCTTGGATGTCAGCATATTTTGTTTTTTAACGGCAGGCTATAGATAAAAAGTGCATTTTCAAAACATGCATACCACCTTTTCTAAATAAATTGTGGATGTGCCTAAATATGTTTATTTAAAAAAAATACATTACATTTTAAAATTCAAGTAATGTCCTAAACATGATAAAATAATGTAAAAATATAAGGCTATTGGTTAAGAGTGAGAACAGATTTAAACAATATTTTGGGATTGAATTCTCTCCGTTAATTTCATATGCATGACTCGCAATAAAATCACGTCTAAATATTAAGTCTTAGTAAGAAAAACGTGAGTCAGCATTCGACTTAAGGATAGATGATACAAACTATTGTCAAAGAAATTGAAAATAACAAATTGAATCATGTTTAAATGAGTAAAATGAACAGATTAGTGTAGTTTTTAATTTTCGTTAAAAAATCCACATTAATGGGATTTGAAGAGAAACAAAAATATATGTATAGATTAATAAGGATGGTTGCAGAAAGGTAGAATTTTGAACTTCATAGACGATTTACAATTTCTGAATATTTTAGGAATTTATTGTTTGCATTTAATATTTGCAAGATAAAAAAGCCTAGAATATATACCAATCTAGGCACCCATTCGTATCATCTGTCATTAATGACTGATTGTATACGTTAACAAGGTCATTGTATCGGTAATATAAATTTTGAAATGATTACTTTAAAGAAGACTGTAAATATTCTTGTTTCATGAAATTGTAGATCAATAACATGCCTCGTTTTCAGAAACTGTACGCACTTAGCGCATGCTCAACGGGAAGACATGAACCTCTTTTGCAAGTGATAAGAGTATATTACTATCTAAGCAAAGGAAGTGGATGATAGAAAAGTTAGGGCCATCACGTTTTCCACGAATCTTTCTTAAGGCTACAATTATTGTCCTTTTTAGAAATTTTATCCAGATATGAAACAGATGTGTCATTCTTTATGCTATCATTTATTTCAAGCTCACTATGATACACCGAGTCGATATGTGAATAGAAGTAACTATTGTTTAATGATAATACGTCGTCGTTATATCTAAATGTCGAGTTGAAGGCAGCAGTAAGCGTTTCCTTCTCATGTTTAAGGTTTTGAACGAATTGTTCTTTATCTGATCAAAAATAGGGTCTACTATATAGAAAAAGAGGTTATCTAAATCTTATTTCAAAATAATAATAGAGAGAATCTGTTTAAAAAAAAATTCCCCAGGGACAACAGGGCGATTGCAATTCAATATAGTATGTAGGCATCCTAAAAAAATAATTTTGAAGTTTTTGTTAAAAAATACGTCCTGTTATTAGCTATTATCTTCTATTCCATATTTGTATATTTAGCTAGAAAAAAAAAGGAAATCTTGTGGTCACTTAAAACAAAACAATAAGAAAAACGTGATGACTTCAATTTTTCTATCATTAACTTATCTTACTTACTGTAAATAGTATATACTGTACCCTTATGACCTGCATATGGGTTTTATATTCCTCAGTTGATTCGATACGCTGAGTATACTTTGCGTACGAACAATTTTGATGAAACAAGACTATCAATATTCTCGTTTAAAGCCATCATTACACAGGTAGTATGGTCGTTACAATGGCAGTGTCAGCAAATACAATCTATCACTAAGTCGAACTTTAATCGACTCTTTCATGCTACATGTAATTGTTAGGCCATTGTTTATACACTGGGTTGTTTACGGATTTTTACATTTCCTCGATCATTATAGGGAGCACGTGGCGGGTGTGACCACTCGACAGGGGATGCTTAACCTTCTCTGGCACCTAATCCCACCTCTGATGATGCTTAACCTTCTCTGGCACCTAATCCCACCTCTGATGATGCTTAACCTTCTCTCACTTTGTATTTTTTCCCACCTCTGATATGCTTACCCTTCTCTGGCACCTAGCTTGATTGCTGTAATCCCATTATGATGCTTAACCTTCTCTCAATTTGTATTTTTTCATTTCTTGATTGCAAAAATTTCATTTCTTCAAAAATCTTTTTTCCTAGGGTAAGGTTGAGATGCATAATGTAGTCAAGATTTTACATTTTTGAACGTATAAAGGAAGCATTTTAAAAACGTGTTTGAAAAATTAACGTTTTTTTCTATTATGAAGTGCATGTTCTAAATCTTTCAATTACATAATTCCGTTAATTCGGTCCAATTTCTATATTGTGTTTCTATCGTAATCAACCGAATTATAGGAACAACAAACGGAAGTAGTTCTAGATAAGCATGGCTTGCAATATTATGGTTAGGAATACAATATGTTTATATTGTGGGATGTGTTTTAAGAGAGAATTCCTATGTAAACATCATTACTAGATGCAAATATTACCACTCTCTAACAGAATGAGAACACAGTCATTCAAATCTGTTCAGACATTCAACCAGTTACGCAAGTGCATGGTGTTTTATATAGAATAAGTGTCTCTATGTTGTCTAGGATTTGTTAATTTCATCCACTGAATATTGTCTCTGCGTATTCTTACTCCGGAAAATCCATTGCAATAAACATAATTCTTCAGATTAATAAATCAAGTTAATTAAATAACGTTTTATTGCAGCATAGTGAACCTCGATGAAACCATATCATATAAAACCACTAAGATAAAATGAAGAAATAAATGAATGAACAATTAAGTAAAAATTAATCAATCACATTCAAATGAATATAAAGAAAAACCTGAGAACAATAACTTAAAGACAAAAACAATTCATACCCCCTCATTTGCATATATTTTTCCACTCGGGGGGTATGTGAAACCTATTATATGTGACGAATCGCCTCTCACCTGTGAAAGTAAACAATGTAAAAACAAAACTGTCTTCTGCTTCGATGAACTTGATCACGCTACGACGTCTGTGGCAACGCACTAAAAAATTAACTAAAAAATTTTTCACATTTTTTCAAAGTGCGTTAAATTTTGGATAAAAATTTTTTCAAAGTGCGTTAAGAAACATAAACATTTTTTACCATGAGGAATTTAACGCACTTTGAAAAAAAGATATGTATGAAAATAAAAATTCTAGACTTAGATTTTAGTAATAGAGGAAATCAAATTGTAATAATCATATCTTTCGAAAAACTTTTTAAAATTTACATGAACTCATTTAACCTCATTGAGAACAAGAAGAAAACGAGTAGAAGGTTTCTCATCCCAACTCTTTTTTTCAAACATTGTACATAGCCGTCATTAGCAAATTGAAAGTTGACCCCACAGGTAAGCCCAATTTTTAATGCATACATGTACATATTATGTATATCTTTGCAAAATATTTATATGCCTACATGTAACCCCCCTTTCCGGTACTGATGCCTATGCTACACCCAAAGATATGTGTTTAAATAACTGGAATGACGTTGAAAACTTTCAATAAATTTAAGTTTACATAAAATGCATGCAAACTTGAAAAAAAATAAGTACAGTAAAGCATTTAAGCGAGAAAGAATTTTCAAAGTATGGAAAAATCAAAATCGCTCACTTTCACATCCTGAAGTGACATCTTCACAGACGAATTATCAAACAGGTTCAATTATTTATCATATCTAAGATTTGCAGGAATATTGACAAATCCATACACAGTTTTTCAAAGTGCGTTAATATGGTCCATATTAACGCACTTTGAAAAGAAATTTTATTTTTTCAAAGTGCGTTGACTTGGTCCCAAAATTTAACGCACTTTGAAAAAATTTTTCAAAGTGCGTAATTTTTCAAAGTGCGTTGTAACAGACGTCTTTAACCTATCTCAGATCTCAAAAGCTTAAGAAACAAAGCACGAGTTAATGTTCGCTGAATATATATCTTTTATCAGTCAAAATCGTTTTTTTTTGCTACAAAGTTCTGATGGAATGGGGTGACAGTTTGAGAGTCGTTACGGTTATATTGAATTAATATAAAGTTTATAAATGACGCGACGGACAGCACGTGCGAGATGTAATTACACCATTAAGAAAAATAATCGATGTATCTTGATTACCGATGTTATTTAGAAACCTATTTATTCCGTACACAAGATGTCGACCCCTTGACCACTTTAGTTTTTGATCAACCAATGGATAGTGTTTATTTACTTTTTATTAGCTCTGCACCTGCTAAAAGAACTTGTGGGGACCCATTTCTTCGTAAACAGTGGAGAACTTCAACAATTAGGTATGTCTGATTTTTTTCATGTCTAACAATGCTTAAAAAATTCATTTTTAATCCGGAAGCCATCAATCAAAAAATGATACGCATGTAAACAGATCTAATTTTTCTGAAATTACTTTTCAAAACTGTTTTTAGGATATTGTATTGTTTTTTTCTTTGAGATTTATGTATCTGCTACTCTGTGATATGGAAATTAGCGCAAAAATTATCATTTCTCTCTGAGGTACAATTGCTCCTTTGAAATTAACTCGAGGAAAAGTTCCGCCTCGTGTTATCACTGCAGCACTGTTCTGAATGGATTTCGGTAAAAAGGTGATGTTTGTTTTCATCAACCAAAATCCAGCCTAGTGTTGAAAACTCCCATTAATGAAACAAACTTTTTATACAACTTTTTTCCTCTTAAAATAAGCCCCCTGGAATTTTGTGAGAAATTTAAACATAAAAACACACTTCAATCACAGTTCAATCACTCCTATTTTGCTTTTTCTCACTTTATTTTTGTTTGTACAGGTGCTTAACTAATTTTTGTCAAGTCGAAGAAATCAATTAGATGTTAATTTTGCAGTACCAAGCATTTTTTTCCGATCGATTTTAAGTGCAAAATAAAACATAAATCATGGACATGCACGCGATTTTCTAAGAAATCTTCAGAAGGACTTTATTTTTCCTGTTCATACCTCTTTTTTCATATTTCCATTCAAATATATAAATTGATTACATTGAAGTGTTGAGAACAGGATGCTAATACAATGTTTTGAATCATTAAATATTAAAATGAGAAATTCTTCAGCTTGTGGAGAGATGTTCGAAAAACCTTTATCCAGTGTTGTAAAAAGAATCTTTTCAGAATGCTTAACAAGAAAATGAGTACCAGATACATGGTATACTCATACTGACCCAGTCAAGGTTCCTGAAATAGCAGCGATTTGATTAAAATTGTTCTATATGTGCGTACTATACGGCCTTATTGTAAACAAAAACATCATCCTTCAATGCTTACTGTTTGATGTTAATGCTAAGGAAGTGTCGGGTTAACCTGTAGATAAGTAGCTGTCTGAATGAACTAAAATACGTTTCGATCTTATATAGTCAAATCCAAACACCAAGTGAGATGAGCTTCTTTTTGATTTCAGGAGTTTCAGGGTACATTACCACCATTGATAATCCTGGAAGTCCTCACGATGTACGGATTGCTACTGGAGAGTATCCAGCATTACATCATAGAGAAGTATGGAACAGATCAGTGGAATCAAATTTTGGAGTATGTACAACAGAAGAATATTGTCTTCACCACTCACAAGATTTACACAGACGGTCTCATTAAAAAGATCGCCAAAGGATGTTGTCATGTGTTTAACGAGCAAAAGAGTGAGGAAGATTACTTGCTCTTTTTCGGCAAGTGTTTTGTGAAATTCTTTAATCACTGTGGATATGACAAAATTGTTCGTCTGCAAGGACGTCATTTCCGAGATTTTCTTTACGGAATTGACAACCTTCACGAAATGATGCGGTACAGTTACCCACGGATGCAAAGTCCCTCATTCCTTGTTCAATCCGAGGACAGGTACGGATGTGTACTTAGCTATCGTTCCAAACGGACCGGATATAAAAATTATGTGGCAGGCCAGTTGACACAGTGTGCCAAAATGTTTTATGACATTGATATAGAATTAGAAATACTGCTAGAGGAGATATTGGATATCGGATGCAATGTTACATTTCGGATTAATTTCGACAACTCTGCTTATTTTGCTCCCTTGCAAGCATCAGTCCAAAGCAACTTTTATGACGACATCGAATTTATATCAAACGAATTGTTCTTCAAGGTAGAAATTTATTAAGTACTATGGATTCGTAATTATCAATGAACGATTTCTCATTAGAAACTAGACAAAAATTGATATTGCTTCAAGCAGAGCAATAATCCCACACAATGTACATTTATACTCTTATATTGATTTAACAATGCAAATTTCTACTTCAACATTGCCTCTTGAACTTCCTCTTTGTGTTATTGCTTGAGCTGTGACCTATCAGTTATAGAAAGTGTCGCTCTAATAGCAATCGAGACCTTCACAAAGACATTCCAAAATAATGACTTATTTATCTCATCCATTATCATTATACATTATTTTGTATTTAGTGACTTTAATCATTGTCTAATGAAAGTCTTTAATCATTGCAATTTTCTTAACTGCTGTTTCACTTGGTCCTCTTGTATTACCTTCAATTTTCTTTAAAAAATTAACTGCTTGTTTTCTATAATTGTTTCATTGTTTGTTTTTATAGGTTTTTCCGTTTAGCATTGTCTTTAATGAAGACATGATTGTGACCAAAACAGGAGATAGAATGTCCAAATGGTTAGACACCAACGATCTGATCGGTTCTTACATTAATGTCCGCTTCAAACTAAGAAGACCAATATTAGAATTCACCTGGGACAGTGTAAGTAATAGACACCATATCTTAATGCAGCCTTTTCCATTAGAATTGTTGTCTATTCTATTGATTCTTTCATCATTCACTTTGCATTAAGCTTCGTACTTAGGAACTTCAGCAGCCTGAATAAAATGACTTCGGGATTGGGAATATTAAGAGATGAAATCTGCTTGCATTCGATACCAAATCTCCCTCAAAGCAAATATTATATAGTTAAAGTATATCATTGAGGGAGTCAGCAAAATTCCAGTTCCCCAAGAGCAAGTCTATTTCCCGAGGCGCTTGCGTTGCTCGAGGGGAACTGGCATCCCTCAATGATATACTTTAACTGTTTTATTATACCGATACAAAAATTAGACATTTTCAAAGTCAGTAACTGCAATTCTTATTCAAACAGTGCAATTATAAACTTAAGGAAATGGAAATAAAGGAAATATTAATTACTTAGAATGTAAATAAAATAAATAAATTCAATAAAACGTCTTTGCGTTTGAATCAATTAGATACAAAATACATTGTACTTGTATCTACAAGAAACTTCTTTTGTTTTATAAATAATTTCAACTGTTACAAAGTTATGTGATCTGTGGAAGCTCTCAGTGCACATTAGTTTACAAGGATGACGTCACAATAACAAGTTACATTTTCCCGTATAAATTAGGCCCTGCCTCCTTATACAGCTGCATTATGAATATTCATGATTTTTTGAAACACATCGGTACTTTTCATATGATTAAAAGAAATTGCTAGGTGTTCCGAATAGGTGTGTATCAGTTCATCAAACTGACACACCTTTCTGCAGGGAATCAGACTTTTGGGGTGATTTTCAGGAAATCAGCAATACATATTGATTTACTCTTATATAGTGAAAAATCAGTAGAGGTATAATAAAAGCGACTGAAATAGTGTTCCATTAACTTATTTTATATCTTACGACACGTACTATAAATATTTTTTTTTTCAAATTGAAAAAAAATTACAAAGCTGTGACTCAGATCACACAAGAAGAAATATATATGAGATAACGTATGTTTGAGCTTGTAGATTTTAATTTCAAAGATAACACAGTCGTATTTTATCGTTATCATACTACAAGAAATTTTAAGAATTTTTTCGGTCGCGTTCGTAAAGTATATTATATCTCTAGTGACATATAAAACAATTTGACGTTAAAGACTGAACGGCACCAAAAATACAAGGACTGGGTTAAAAAAAATCCATCTAGTGTCATACAGAGATTATTCTTATATTTTCCATCGTTCTTATTTCATACATTTTTTCATCAGTCTTCATGTAGCTTTTCCAACTTGCAAATCTAGAACATACTAGTATTTAATCATTTTGTGTAGCTTTTTGACATCTCAAGATCTTATTTCAGATTTTAACTCATCAATCCGTTGTGTTTGAACTCCAATGTGCCAATCTCACCCCTCGAAGACATTCCATAACTACTGACATGACGTCACCATATGAGAAAAAGCTCTATAATAAACACAAGCTCATTTTCCGTGGACAGATGAAGTACATCCCTTGCTGGGACGCCATTGCCTTTCTATGTAATCCATTGTAAGCCCCTATATACACCTGTTGCATCTTAGAGCTTGAATAGAGATTCACATGTACTACTATATCTACACTTGAATCTCCAAACTGAAACGTGATTATTCGTTCATAATCTGTTATTCTCAAACTATATTAAAAAGGTTCCGAGAACAAGAAATGGTAGTCAATCTTAAAACATGAATTGAATTTTTTTTATTTAAAAAAATGTTTACAATTTACTTTTAGCTCATTTAAACCATTAAAAACATTTTTGTTCGAGCGCTAGTATATGAACCTCGGCATCCTAAAGCTCAATATCCTTTCGGTTTCATCAGGAAGAGCTAAATTAAATAATTTTCATTAAATTCATTATTTAAGTAGTTTATTCCTGATTTCAATACTAAATTGTTCATTGTGCGACGAAAATCAACCACGGTTGCATGCTAAGTGAAAAAATATGCAGGTATAATGTTCCAAGACAACTTCTATAACTTTTAAAAAAAAAAACATTAATTTACTATTAATATTATCTAAACGGATCCTCGAGCTATTTCTCAACTGCCTGACAACTATTTCCGATACCTAATCAATATGAAGCGTCCAGCATATGCTCATAAGCACGTACTGGTCATTGTTTTCAATTTTCGCTTGTTGACGGGAAGGTCGACTGGCTAGAGAGGAAACTTTTTTACTTTGAAAAGTACTTAAAGTAAACTTTAATGTACAGGATCTTTTATCAAGAGTCATTAGGTAAAATTCTCTATAGACTCTTGTCATGTCTACAGATAATGGACACGTTCACCCCACGAGGATGATGACTTTTCTATTTCGAAAATAATGATATTCCATACCTCATCTAATTGCCATGAATTCGAAATTAAACGATTTCTTGGTTTCTGGTTTCAGTTTATGACACACTTATCAAGACTCAAAGACTATTTTACATGTCATATGCCTTGAGTAAACGTTTCATTTGTCTAAATCCTCATTCCTCTTTCCCTGCAATTGTATTTTTTACAGAGTTGGCTCCCTTGAGGATATGACTCGGGTCGGTCTGTTCATCAATGACCTTAACCTCTTTGACTGCAGTAGAGATATCGTTCTCAATGGCTGGCAGTATGCATCGCAGTTGGAATTCTCTCTTGAACAGGTCAGGATGGCACTTAACAATAAGTGGCATCATCGATAACAATTGAATGTTTGGCAATGGATTTCTTTAATTCGCAGGAAATGATTGAAAGATAGCATAAATTAAACGAAAATTGATAGAATAAATTCTAACAGGAAAAATGACATATCTGAGTTCGCTTCCTTTTGTGTTTTCTCTGTCCTGTGTTTATTTTCTGTGTTATTTAAAGGGGCATTGACACAGTTTCAACTGAATTTTTTAAAATGATTTTTACAATTCCTAGGTATGGCATCATCTACTGATCAGCCAAAATTTGAACATCATTTGTTTATTAACAAACGAGATAAACAACTTAAAGTTTATGTAAACATAAACAAGGCACGAGCCTTGTTTATGTTTACATACAGAAAGTATTATATTTATAACAAAATGAAATTCAGCAAATCACTAGAAACTGAATAAATGAATTTAGAATTAACGTTTTATTGAAATTACCAGCTTTGTACGAACATATATTAGTATATTAACATTATGTAAACAAAACATGACACGGACTATGTTTACTATAACAAAGGTTTGGAGCTCTAAATCTGTATTGCTATTACAACCAAAGTTCTTTTTGATGATCATTAGAATAGTTAATAATTTGATAGAAAATGAAAAATGAATTTGAAAATTTTTAGCTTAAACTGTGTCCATATTATGTTAGGTTTATTATTCTCTCTTAACCAAATTAACTAAGTTTTTTTTTTTTTTTTTTTTTTTTTTTTTTTTATACACATGTATATCATTTTGCTTAAATGCCAGTCAATTTGGCCCATTGCTTTACTAATCCTTTTAAGAATGTCTTATAAACAATGCACTGAACAACAATGGCTATTTCCAAAGTCTTCTGCCTAGAACAGTTTCATTGACTTTCTTGCGTTATATTCTATATATACATTTTAGCAACAAGAAAATAGCAAGCTGATTGCAGAAAACATGAAAAAACAAGATGAATGGCGACTGAAGAGCGAGACACTACTGTACTCCATGATTCCAAGAACAATTGCCGAACGCTTAAAGCGCGGAGACGACCCGATCAAAACATGCGAGGTATAGCAATTTAACACATTGCTTGTGAAATCATAGGTTACATTAAGCTAATTGAATCCAATTTTCTTTCCAATTATCATTGTTTTTACAGAGACTAAAAAAGGTACTTGTTAAAGCAAGATAAATACTTCAGAGGCAAACTTTATCTTTTGTTTCCGTCTTTTATCTATAAACAAAATTTCTGTGTTACATTCTTCAAAACATTAGACAGTTTTTTAAAGACATTTCTATTATCTACCCGCAAAACATGAACAAACATAACCTCATATAATTCATTTTACAGGCAGATTTAATATATGAAACTGTGACTTATACAAGAAATGCAATGTATAAACATTCTCAAAGAAATTAGAATGCTGACGTGAATAAGAAATGAATCTATTTCCTAACATTCATTTTTTTTTAAATAATCACGAAAAAGTCTCAGAAAGTCAAAAAATCCTGGCTGCATGCTTTCATTTTCGACAAAAAGACTTGCAAATGACTATGTACATGTTAATCATGATTTGCTTAATATCAGTGAAATCTTTTAGATGTTCGAGCAAGTGACGATTTTGTTCAGTTACATCGTAGATTTCACAGATATCTGCGCAGAAGCGTCAGCAATGCAGATCGTCAAATGTATTAACGCAGTGTTCACTTGCTTTGATGCTGTTGTTGATAAGTATGATGTTTTCAAGGTATGAAAGCAGAATCAAACCAAACGCGAAAGTAAATAGAAATTAAAACATTAAATAAATATCTTTGAATTAAAAAATTTAAAAAAGATTTTTTTTCCTATCTTAAACCTAAAAGTAATTGAAAAATTAATTATGTAAATCAAAACAGACTAATCCATTCTAATGACTACGTAAAAGAATTAAATTCTTAACTTTATGCAACATTAATTTACTGAAACTCTAATCATCACACTATTTAAAGTTTTTGAAGGTGAGGTTTGGTTTTACTTGGTATGTTTTGTGAATACCTAGGTGGAGACATTGGGAGACGCCGTGTATATGGTGGCCGGGGGTGTCCCAGACAGAAATGAAAACCACGCGGTCAATGTAGCAGGGCTGGCTATAGAACTAGTGGAAAAAGCAGCCAGTTTGACCGACCCCGTCACGGGAGAAAATCTCCAGCTTAGGGCTGGTAAATAATTCTAAAACGTCTTTAACATTTTTCATTTAAGTCACTTGAGCAAGTGTTTACTTTGATATAGACATAAGTATATTAATTATTTAGTTTATGATGAATGTGTAAAAGGTCTATTAAATTAAAGTTTCAACCAGCTTCTTCAAGATTACTTTGATAACAAAAACAAAAACAATCTTTTCATTGTCACACATCAAAATATTTATTTGACACATTTATTTCTGTTAAACATGAAATAGTGTAATGAATAGATAAGAGCAATAGTATTCCTAGACAACACCGTATCATACTCATTTGTCCGTGTTCATGAACAGTGTTACTTTCTTAAATTAGGCATGCACACAGGAAGTGTGGTTGGGGGAATTGTGGGAAAGAGGATGCCCCAGTACTGTCTGTTTGGTGACACTGTAAATACAGCATCACGAATGCAATCATACAGTGAGGTAAGCGATATTTTCAATTTTGCTTTATACTGCAATAAACAGAAGATTAGAAATTATCATGCAATTAATAAATAAATATTTTGTATCCTGTATTTACTGTTCATTAATTCTTCTTTCTGCACAGCCAGGGAGGATTCACTTAAGTGAACCGTGTCATGAGTGTTTGAGGGGAAAAGGATTTACCACAGTCTATCGCGGAACGCTGAATGTCAAGGTACTTAATTTTATTGGGAAAACATGATGAAATTAGAAAAAACTCTTTCTTGTAGATAATTTGGGTAGGTGTTCTAAACTTTGAACACTTTTTTATTCAATTCTTTTCCAGCAAAGTCTTTAAAGTTTTAGTTAATAGTACTGGATGTAGTTGTGGAAGAAAGAAAGGGTGGATTGGCTTCAAGTGCTGCAAGTTCTTCGAGTTCCACCTTTATTGCCAGAGATGGCTTTATCTTCATTTCCACTTTTTTCAATGAATAACTGTATCTCCTCTTCCAGTGATACCAAATGATCCCCTTAATGAGTCCGTCAGCAGAGATGGGAATAGTACCCCCATCTACATACAACCCATTCAGTGTACTGTATCCACAGTCTCTATACCACCATCCTGACTTGTCTTTTCTCGCACAGGAAGAGTACCACAGATCGTAGTCCTTATCATATGTACTAAACCTCATGTTCTGGTGGTAGCTTAAAAACGAATCTCCAGAGGTGCCAGAATAATTCGACACAAGTAATCTATACCCGTCTGCCTCGTTAGTAACGGCAAAATATTCATATCTGGCATATGCCTCATCTCCTTCCCAATCCCAAAGGTCAATTCGCAGGGTATAGTTGTTGGCCCGTGTGATCAAATGAATATATTCGTTTCCTAACCAATATTCCGTATTTGGATTTCCAAATCCAAAAGCATAAGTGTTCCAGTTTTGTGTGAAATTGACACTTCCGTCCATTCTCCTTTGAATAACCGTCCATCCACCTCTTTCAGTGTCCATGTCACACCAGACATTCATTATTTTTCCGTTTGAGAAACGTATTGGATATACCCCAGAAACATGGAATCCATTCATCTTCAATTCATTACAATCTGTAAAACGAATTTTACAATTCTGTTATACACAACACTCTCTTTCATAAAAGGCCAATAGAATTTATTAGACACTTCACATTTTTTGAAAATTGATTTCTATTAGCATAATCTGCACATGTACCTCGGACTAAGGGTATATTTGGGAAACTTGGTGCCATCTTTTTATACTTCTCAACCTCTATTGTATCTATCTGTCTCCGGATCTGTTGATCAACCTTATTGTTCAGGACATCAAGTTTCCTTTGGAAAAGAAATAAACCCATACGAAACGTAATACCCTTTTTCTCTAAAGGAAAACATCGTCAATGAAACAAAAACATACATTGAATACCTAAATTAAGCCAAAGACATTAAGGTTTGATCAATATTTTAGCTAAATACCGTGGTTATTATTGTAAAAATCAGTTTTTCTTTGTGTAAATTCGTGTTCTCATGTACACAAAAGCTTACTTTTGTACTAATTTGACATACACAAGATGTAGATGTATTCCAGGACTATTTCTTCTTCCGCTTATTTTAACAGATATCTCAATTTCGTTACCTAGTGAACGAATAGGTTTTTTTCTTTTAAGGCAACTATAACTTAAACTTACATAATAACATCATTGATGAGATTCTCCTGGTTGGTTTTAGACGTTTCAAAGTCTCCGTTCAACCTCTCTAGTAGGTTACACTGATGTTCGTTCTGAAGTGAAGGAGACAGTGATCTGTGCTGTTCTGAGGAACATACACTGGGTGCCCCCGAGGCAGTTTGGCGGGAAGCCGCGGGTACCGATTCCTGACTAAGCGACACGTACAGCATTCCCAACAGCTGTATCACAATGCACATGCAGTGCATCTGTAAAGTGAAGAAAAGAAATGTTCAAAAGAAATATCCACAAATTGTAAATAAATAATTTATCTGTCAGGTAACACTCTATGAAAACTCTTCACAAGTATTTTGTTTAATAGATTACAAAACAAAGTTTGTTGAACAAAAGTGCTTACAAATATCATCAATTAGTGCTTTAACTAGTTTTGTTTTCAAAATCGAAATACGGTTATTTGAAAGAGTTTGCTTACTAGTTAATGTATTTCACCCTCTCTTAAAGTTTAAGAAGATAAAAACGTATTTGAAATTTAAAATAAAAGACTTGTAAAAGACTAACCTTTTAATTTTTGTTAATCCACTCTCACCAAAAAGACAAAGACCTCATTCTTTGAATTTGCTTTAATGAAGTGGAAAAACCATGTGGTATTATATACACCCTAAACTCCATCATTTATCTCAAAAACTTGAAACAATTCGCCTAAGTCAACACACAACAGATTTTATTGAACCTTGTCTAACCTTAATAGTTTTTTCCTCTTGAGAGAAATTCAGACAGAAAGTACAAAAAATTATAATAACAGACAGGAAAAATTATAAGCACATGTTTATACGTCATGCTCTCCGAAAGAAATATTTTACAATGAATCATTCGCTGTTGCTTGCTTCAAGAAAATGCAGGTTTTGATATTAAAGCATTTATTAACAGAAGATCTTCTAATCACCAACATGGAAAAGAGTATGACATTTGATATCTATAGTATTACTTAATCTTGAATAAAAGGATATGAGCCATGTTTTGGCAAAGGAAGAAGGAACATGTAAATAACTGTCAGAAAGTGATGGAGTGATTTGTCCGTAAATAATTACAGCAAGTGTGTTTCCGATGGGCATATAAATTTTTTACATCGGATATGCTGTAGAATAGAGCGGATATAATAAATATAATTCCAATTCTTTTAAAATATGTTACATGAAGGGAATGCTCCCAATAGAGCTTTTGAAATTTATAATCTATTTTCTAATATAATGATATATATCTATTTCCCTAAATCTTTTAAAAATTCATCATTACCATGTTACATGAAGGGAATGCTCCCAGTAGAGCTTTTGAAATTTATAATCTATTTTCTATTCATTCTCTACAATAGTGACCAATTCTATATCTATTTCCCTATCCATCTCAATCGATACCGAAATTCATCATTACCATGTCCAAAAGAAAACATCCAAATCATAGAGCAAGATTCAATTTATTCTCTTCTCGAATCTTCTTGAGTGTTCTCAATACACTACGCCTGCTACTTGCAAAATTAATTTAAAGGTGATACTATTCCGGATATAAAGCAATCAGTTTGAATATATGTAATTTATCTTGCAGGGCAAAGGTGAGATGAATACATACTGGCTTGCAGGGAGAGAAGGAGAGACACGAACAAAAGTTATATGTGAATTACTCAAAGCTGAGAAATCTAAAAAGATGAAAACACAGTATCGGTTAGTATAATCCTGCCTTTGTTTTATGATTTTCTACATCAAGGGCATTGGAGAACTAGTAAATATTACTTTTAGAGGTCGAACGCATGTAATTTACAGCATTTTCGGTTTCTGTTCATGATTACTGAATTGTTGTTGGATTATTTTTTTCACTATCACTACTTTACTAATACAGTTGATATAAGCAAATGATATAATATATTTGTCCTTGCTATAAGAAAGAAAATCATCGATCAACATAAATGGTGAAACTTTGAAACATATTCTAAGGCCAAAAAAGTTTTTTTTTCCACGGAACTGAATAATAAAAATGGATTTAAAACTTTTAGATTTCTGAGTTTCAAGATACCTCGATTCAAATTTTGTAAAAGAAAGGTGAGAGATGTGAATCGCTTTTATTGGGCATGTGCATTGCTTACGTACCCCAAGGTTTTCTAAATATCTAATTATGAATAATAGCAAAACAAAATATTGTTTGTTAGCTTACAATGAGAATAATGCAAAACAATTCAAGGTACGTTCTACAATTTTAAAATAAACTTCAAACTGCAAAAAAATGTTCAGAATGTAAGTAATATGAGTGACAAGATTTATTTTGTGTACATAATTGCAATACACAGGTACAACGATGTAAAACCCTATTCATTCTTCCATGCAAAGTTAAGGTGAGACGATACACTTAGATCATATAGAGTAACCCATTAGCAAAATATCCAAGGGTATTAGAAAAAAAAATCTGAAAAATGAATTCCTTATCGATAGAAATCTAATTTGGTGATGGTGGAACATTTCTTTCTTTTTTTTTAACATTTTAAAAATTAAGAATATTTTGTATCAAGCGTGCTTGGTAAGTTTTCAAAAACACAATTCAGTGCATGTCTTTTGAATCATCGGAAGCTGTTATACTTAACAATATGCAAAACTTGTATGTTTTCGAAATATGTGTTTGGCAAATTATAACACTCTTAAAAAGTTCCTAAATGCAAGGTAACGCAATAAATAACTCAGTATGTCGAATGATACTCCACTTAAAAACACACATGGCACATTTGGTGCAATCGTCACATTAATCTAAGAAAACGCCTTTAGTATTAATGAGGAATGTGGAATGCAACCTCGGTTATAAGAAGTGCATGAAAAACCCGGATGATGAAGATTGAAATGAAGTGAATGCAACTTAAAACTCTTATTCTACGCATCTTGCATTTAGGATAAAGCATGTCTGACGGACTAGTGCTAATGTGAATTTTATGGCATCGTTTAGCTTTCAATACACATTTGCATCCATCTGCTCCATTTAAGTATTGCCATGGGAGACACATATAAACATTTTTTTGAATCTAAGATGACATGAAATGCTCTCTATATACAATGTATGTATAGAATTATAATTCTAATCCGCATGTGAATTGCAAAATAACAGCATGGAGGAATTTGGTTGATTGGTCACAGTTATTACTTTGAATGATTTATTTGGTTTCAGATATATTATTGTTAAAATATTCGTTCACTATGCTCGTCTCGATGGTACTGAATATATGAATATAAAAATACAACAACAAAAAATTCACTGCTTTCCACTGTACCGCTTTGCAATACTTTTATATCATGGTCAGCGCTTATTCATGTATTTGATATTCAACATGAAAATCATAGTCAGCTTGTTTCTTTAAAATTTTCTATATATTAGGAAAAGAAATGTTGGAATATCTAACAGTTTAAACAAAAAAAACTATCTTTTATCAAAGCAAATTTATCTAATGTACGAATCTTCTTTTTCAAATCTTTCACATCTGAAGTATTACACAACAACAAATTCAGTTGATAAAATACTATCAAAACTTGTGAATTGCACTTAAGAAATTATTATGCATATGTATTAGAATTTACCTGCATATATGATCATTAAATTATGTTCTATTATTCTAACATCACTTTGCAGTTCGTTCGACAATGGCTTTGATCTACATGGTATGCACAATATCACTAGCTCTGCTAACTTTTCACTGCTACAGGCAAGTGCCAGCAAAGAGGATTCTGAGACCAAGGGTAAGGAAAAATCTTATTGCTCACTTCTCAACCAAATACATGTATGCTCATATATGCCTAAAATTTCAATGATTGTTAATGTATTTTTCAATTTATTCACATTATTTCAAGTTACTTGTCAAGTTGATTAAGAAAATTTCATTTAATAAGATCTTATGATTTTCATATGAATTAGGTTCTTATGAAAATCATGTGATCTTGAAATGGAATGTCATTTTCAGTTTTTTGTGAAATCACATCTCTTTTTCATCTGAATATATATTAGATGACTTTATATGTTTTATTTGGCAAATCCAATAGCCTTCCATATGATACAGTACTGATCCCATGAAATTAGGAAATGATGATAAACAAAAAATATTGAAGAAAATAATTTTTCGTTAAAATTTATTCTTTTATGAAAAAAATAATATTGTGATATTCCTTGGTTTCTGACAATATTTGAAGCCCATTTTAAATATGAAAATATTTTTTAATTTGATATATATATTATTTATCGAAAATTTGTTATAAACCTAACATTTTAAATATCATTCTAACAATTTCATTTTAATGAATTCGTTATAATGAATTTGCAATCTGTTATTTTAACAAATATATAAGTATTTTTTAATTAAATCTCTTATAACGAATTCAAAAAAATATGTTAATACAAATTAAAACCAAAAAATGAAAATAATTTGAGCTAGAAATTAATGAATGCATATTTCCAATCATTTTCAAAAATAGTGTTAAAGTGTGAAAAAAAATGACTTATTTTTCCCTCTTTCATGTGTGTATAATATTTCATAGGCAAATAACTTCAATCTTTCTGAGGTCTGTGCAAGTTGTAGAGATTTAACATAGAGTATATTTTAATGTTAGATGAAATATTAAGGAAAATTTTGATATAATTGAGATATAATTTTTCACCTTCATGTTTGTTGCGTTATAGGCTTATCGCTCATAATGTTCACCCATCTCCTTTTTACAAGGATATATACACAAGCTTTTTTTAAAAATAAATTACGAAATTGCTGAAAAATAAGTTATAAGAAAAATGATTTTTCCATTTTTTTCCCCCATTTTCTGATTAAAGGGCAAAAAAATGCATGAGTTTGAAAATAACTTGTATACGTATGCACTAAACTAGAAAATAATGAACGCATAGTTGCATCATGTTAGCATTTTCATTTCTACTTTTTAAGAATGTGATATTCAGAGAATAGCAATGCTTGATAATGGCACTGTGATTTTTGTATATTATCCTTCTGTTACAGAATCCAAGCCCAAAAGTGTGCCCAAGAAAAAAGCTTCCTGTCCACTAGACATTGTTGCCGAAAGTGCCTCAGATGATCAAACAGGCCCAAAACCAGTTTTTGTGTAAAAAAAAAACCATTCAAACCCAAATCTGAAACATATCAAAATACAGACAATGGCCTTCTAGCTTGATTTGATTCATGAAAGGCATGTGATTTGATTATATTGTTTTGATTTTACATTAATAGCAAATAAATTGTTTTTCATTTTCTTAGTTATACATTGCATGAAACAAAAGGGATTCTTAAAAGAAACCCAGAGAACCTGTTTAACATCTGAATATTGACAAGGGATAATAATTTTACATGAACTTCAATTCTTGGATTCACAATTTCCTTCTTGTGTTTTGGTAGCAGTCTAGATTTGTGATAAAGATCTCAAGATGTGAATTTGTATAACAACAAAAATGGTACATGAAAGTTAAATATTATTTAATAATATAATTATACAAACAAATTCATATTTTTTAAAAGCTTCTTGATCAAAAGTCTTAATTGTTGGAATAAATCTACAAATTTTCATTAATGGCTCTAATATTACTACTAAACAGTTTCCATTCCTGGCACTAACTAATATAAATACTGGTCTAAAACACACTCTGGTAATTAACACTATCAATAGAACTGTCCTGATACTTTCCTTATGAACATCCTAAGTTTTACATCTTGTCCTTGCACATTTTGATGTAGTTAGTAAAAACATCAAACACTTTTTAATGACATCTTCACAAATTGCCAATGACACCATCATAAATTGTCAATGAGGTCATCAGCATCGATGTTGTCAGAAGATCGGTTTGATGTAGAGGAGGTGGCTTTTTTCATTCTGACAGGTCTCTCTGGCCTGGGGATTAAAGAATTACATTATAAACTAAAACTAAACTTTTTGTGACAATTTCTTTGTCACATATACTCTACTTGATTCCAATTTGAAAATTAATATAGAGTAACTTCAATGGCATTCAATGTAGTTTAACTGTATATATGTTTTAGTTACATACATATTGATAGGTACATGTAAATCACAGTTACATGTTATTATATATACTATACACAACAGAGATCCAAAAATAGAAATAGGCAATGAAGTGTTTTTATTCGATGAAAAATTAGGTTTTGTAGTATACTGTACATTCGTTATTTACATAAGTACTTCATATTGCCAAATGGTAGTAGAGGTCAAAACAAGATAATAACATTGGCAGTGGTACTGGTGGATCATTTGATTTACATGAATTACAGCATCATAAAAATAAAAACAAGTTATCTTATTTCATGAGTGGTCATTCTCATGAAATTATGCAATATTATATTCCCAGAATAGATTTAGAAATCTTTAGTAAGTACAATGCTATACTAATATATTTTAAAAAGCCCACATACTTTATTTCTGATGATGAAACTTTTGGTAGGACAGGTTTGGATGGAGTTTTACGTTTGTTTGACTCAGCATTTCTCCGTGGTCTGAAATTTATTTTTGAAAATTTTAAATTCAAATGAAAGTTGCTCATTCATTAATTTACAGGGCTCTCACACCACTTTTTGGGACTGGGGCCGGGGCCATTCAAATTGGGAAAATTATCATCATTTTGGGAAAAGTTGGATAACCAAAATTCTAAAAAATTTAAAAAATCCTCAAATTTTGCTTTTGTAGTATTTTGTCATCAATTTAACTCGATCTGGTTTTGAATAAACACTTAAACAGAACAAACATGGGTACGTAGGCTATTTATGAATTTCATAAGTACATTAGCTTTGTCATTGCTATCTTTGAGTGTTCAATTGCGGTTATATGTCTTTCTGAGTGACAGTCGCTAGTCAAGTAGTCCCATTGGCGTCGGAAGCAAATTGAAAGTGGGGGGGCTATTTTTTTGTACCTTCAAAAAATCCTGACAAGCAAAAAAAAAAGAAAAAAAAGAAAAAAAGGAAAATGTCCATTTCCAAAACACGAAAAATCCTATTTCGTGTTTTTATTTGATGAAAAAAATTTTTTTCCAAACACCACCACTTTCCCCATTTTTAACCTATACCAAGACGTACCTGTAGAAAGTGGGGGGCTAAACCTACGAAGATATGTTCAATGTCTCTACTAAGTATATATTTGACATTGGCAGTGGTACTGGTGGATCATTTGATTTCCTCGATCACATGGACAACTTTGCTTACCAATACAGCGCAAGACTGAACATGCCGAAGCATGGGTATCTTTCCAGGTGCAGCTTACTAATGTTTAAATGAAATGTCTATTTTTGAAACCAATATGATGTTTTTTTTATGAAACTACATGACAAGATACTCTGCTCTCATAGTTAGTACATATTTTTGTAAAAACAATAACCTGGTTCCCCGAACCAGTTTACGAATGCATTTGGCGCGAACTATTAAAATAGTAGTACAGGTTTACTTTCAATTGCAAGTGTGTTTCGTTTGGGTTTTTTTGCGATTAAGTTTCATGGACTTTTATGTTTTAATTAATATTTTGCTACGGAAATTGGGAAATTTACACCTTTCTTTTGGGAAAAAAGGTACCTTTTTTGCATTCAAATGAAAGTTGGCCCATTAGAGAATATTTAAAGCGAATTAAACAAACACAATTTTATTCTTGTCATCAAAAAGTCAAATTACTTACGGGAAAATGATTTACCAGATTTAGATACATGTATATAATAAGTAATATGTATGTATTATTTCAATGTCAAACTAGGAAGTATTAAATTCCAATACCTAGACACCATTGATGTCCCGAGACTCTCCTCCCCAGTATCTAACACAATAGAGTCATCCTTCTGGGGACTTTTCTTCACCTCCTTTTTAGACTTTTTACCTTTTTGTGATGAATTCTGAAGTTTAAAAAATAACAGTAAAATGTTATGGCTGTTCTTCATAATATTTCATTTTTTTTTTTCAAAAATAAATTCTAAGTTTTGCTTTAGTATAAAACTTATACAATATATTCCTTAAATATTTTTTGCCAAATATTTAGGGCATATTGTTTCCTGGCCTCTAGGCAAATGCTGTGTTTTTCTTCACAAAATTCAAAATTTTCTAGTTGTTGTCTACTTTGCATACATGAAGATGCCTACGGAAAGCAAACTTACCTTTTCTTCATCTGTTGTTTCTGCATCACTGACAACAAAAACAACATTGATTATTATATGACTTTAATTTTCAACATTTCTCGATGCACAATAACTTTTTATTATTTCTTTAAAGGGGCATGGACACAGTTTAAGCTAAAAATTTTCAAGTTTATTTTTCAACTTTTATCAAATTGTTAACTAGTCTTACTAATGATCATCAAAAATTTGAACTTCAGTTGTAGAGATACAAGACAGATTTAGAGCTCCAAACCTTTGTTATGTAAACATGGTCCATGTCATGTTTTGTTTACATAATGTTAATATACTAATATATGTTCGTACAAAGCAGATAATTTCAATAAAAAGTTAATTCTTAATTCAATTAGTCACTTTCTAGGGATTTGCTGATTTTCATTTTGTTATAAATTTGATATTTTCTATATGTAAACATAAACAAGGCTCGTGCCTTGTTTATGTTTACATAAACTTTAAGTTCTCTATCTCGTTTGTTAATAGACAAATGATGTTCAAATTCTGGCTGATCAGTAGATGATGCCACACCTAGGAACTGTAAAAATTAAAATTCATTTTTTAAAAAATCAGTTGAAACTGTGTCCATGCCCCTTTAAATTATGTCACAGATATTTACCTCATTTCTTCATCATTTGGTGCTGACCTTTTCTTTAACCTTTTCTCCTGTGTTTTGATTGGTTCATCTGCATTTGATGGTCCTGGAAGTGAATCTGTGCCATTTGTGTCTAAAATAAATCATAGGCACATTACTTGTGAGCTTCAATATACTGCATCTTTTTGGATACTGTTAATCCCTTTTTATTCATGAGAATTTTAATTTTGATTTGTGCATAATTTTGCGAGACAGTATGCTAGTCTAGCTAGACAAAAATATATCATTCATACATACATTGCATTCCTAGAGATTTATATAGAGCATTAATCAAAATTGTGAAATTTTTGCCTCTCCTATAAAGAGTAAATGTCTACCTTGCAAAAATAAAGTGTCACGAAAATAAAGTGATCAAGTATACACACATCTGTAATTATCATTAGTATTTTTTTGTAATTAATTAAGGACTTTAATATATAGAAATCAGTGGTTATAAGAAATGGTTATTTCAAGGATACCATTTGAAATTAGTTTGATTCAAATTGTATCGTCATAGCAATCTAGGACTATTTCAAGCTTAGTTTGGACTTTCATTTAGGTGTGGCATTCTCGATGTTACATAATTAGCATCTGAAATTTACACAGCTTTCCTTCACTGTTGAAATATACATGGGATAGAAGTTCGGGCAAATGTCAATTAGTGTATCGAATAACCAATGACATTGTTTTGTCCTGCAAAGAGATGGAGCTTAAGTCGTCTCATTGTTGTAAACAAAAATTTAGTTCCTGATGTTATTAATTTCTTAACCAATGAGAATCTATTCACCATTTGACAGGCAATAAAAATGTAGCGCCAAGAATGCCACTCCTTCCTGAAAGTCCAAACTAAGCTGAAAATGGTTCTAATTACATGCTTTTACTTCTAGTTTTTATAAGTAAAATATAAGGTACCAGGTAGATGTAAATATTACTGATATATGGGTGAATATATTAAAACCTGTAGATTACAACATAAATGAATACTCACAGTGATTTTTAAGCTGCCTTATTTTTTCCTTCTTGCTGTTTAAAACATCAACAAACTGAAAGGAAAAAACTATTTTAAAAAGTTTAAAGATTCTATCAAAAAAGTCCAGGGGCACTCAAAGCACATTTTATAAATATTAGATATGTAAAAACTGTATTAACATTAATATATTGCAAATTTATAGCAAAGTAATCTTGTGTGAGCTATATAAATTTAACAAATTCCTTAGAAGGATATAAGAAATTACAGATATTTATGGTTGTGAACCAATTATTCACACAATTTTTCATCGGAACGGAATTTTTAAACGATACTTTATCTTGTTTTACTGGTAATTCAAATATCCGGACGCTTCACATATCCGGACAAATTGACTAGGAACCAAAGCGTCCGGATAAATGAGGCTCCACTGTATACCAAAGAAATTCACAGGTCCCAGTGACTTTGTTATAACCAAGTTTTACTAAGATACATTTTTCAAATCTTAAAGTTTCATTACCTTTGAGTATAATTCTTTTTCTAATTCCTCCTTTGCAACAACACATTTTTCCAACCTCTGAAAATTAAGAACATTATAAATCAAAAAAAACCCACAAAAACAAAGCCTTTCCATTTTTAATACATGTACAGGGGAAAAATCGAGTCTTCTAGCACATTTATAATCAATTAATGATATAAATCAAGGAAGTAAATCTTTGGGGAAATAAAATGTGAAAGAAAAATAAAAAAGAAAAAATGTTTTGGCATTAGCCACAGTATAATCCATACAAGTATATTATTCTGGTAGCAATATATACAGACTATATAGAATAATTTAAATCTTTGCAGGTCACCATACTTATCTTGCTCTATGTATTATGCACATACCTTGAGGGCATTAGCCCTTTCCTGTGTTATTCTGTCATAATCTGTTTGTAGTACTGAGACTTTTTCTTTTAGTTCCTTCTGTCTTTCTATACAGTGGTTGAGGATTTCAGACATGGATTTTGAGGGATCTTTTGCTGGTTTTAGGGAACAACTCCCCAACATGTACTAAAGTTAAAGAAAATATGAATGTATAAAGATCACAGATCGGAATTTAAAAAAAAATCACCTAACAAAGAATTCGAAGGAGTAAAATACAAAGTTAAACAACAGATACAATACTTCTAGGAAGGCAAATGCATAAAATAAAAAAAATCATATCTGAAGAGTGCAACAAAAAGTGGTGCTATGAACTGAACATTATAACAATGCTTGGATCTGTAGCTCTCTGGGGTCTTTTTGAACAGAATTTTCTCGACCAGAGACTCACAGTTCTGACACTTCAAAAAAGCCACTACATTTGATGCACCTTTGAGCAAAAAATGGTCAATTCATCTAACTGAATTGACATTTGTTGTGCCAACACTTACAGTTAAATCTTCATCTGGAGCATAATACCACTGGAACTCTGTTCTTTTGGGGTTGAGTTTGTATTCAAATGACCAACCAGAGGAAGTTTCACAACTCAAAGCATCTTTTGTTTTCTTTAATAGGGATTCATAATCCATTTTCAGCGTTTTCCTCATTTCCTCAATGTCGTCTTCATCAACTTGAAAAAAAGTGATATTAAAAGAAGAATCAGTCTGATTTAATGGAGTTATATACTATAATAATATCTTAACATTTTAAATTTTCTTCGTCTGAGAACAACAAATTTAAAAATAAAGACATTGATTTCTTCATAAAATTCCTAGTTTATTGCTATACATATGGAAAAATAAAATCATTTGTGGAGTGGGAGCGAGACAAAGAGAGATGTGCAGGGTTAGGATCAAGCACATGGATTTACGGATTCATGTACATATACAAGTGTTTATATAGGGATAACTGTCATTTTTTATTGATGATCAAACAATTGGTTCTTACATTTTCCTTTAGATACTTGGCTTCCATCTGAGATGGACAGCAAAAATTCGTCAGCATCTTCATTTTTATAATTTACAAGGAGGTATACGGTGTCTCCTGTAGATAATTCTATCCTGTTGAAAAAAGTTGCCATCCCCTAATAAATACTCTTTGGGCTAGCACAGACAGGAAGTTTTCTGAAATATTCAAAATAATTTCCATTTTGTTGTTAATGAAATTCACCTGAGCTTTCTACCCATATTTAATATGCAATGAATTAACTTGTAAGAGTAAATCTAAAATGTTATCTTATTCATTAAAAGAGAAATTAAATGTTTTTACCTTAGTTTTCGTTTATGATCTATCGTCGTTTCTTGATCGCGCACGAAAATGAAAGTGAAAGTAGATAGATGTATCAGACGAGGGTAAAACTAGGACCTAGCAGTTTGTTCAATTCTATTTTGTTGATTATTGTAATGTAAAACATGTTTATGCAAAACACAAAGGAAAAGTCAATTTAACTAGATGATTACTGTATTTTAAGCTTTAGTGCTAGGACGGGACTATATAGATTATATAGTCAAAATGCATTATTTCTTTGAAAATCCTCTTCCTGCTCTTGGGTACATGTAATAAATAAACTTAACCAAATATATACATAGTAATGTTCAGTAAGGCTTGCTCTACCAAAATTTTTAATTTTATGGCCCCTTGGACGGGGTTTCTGGTGTTAGTGCGGGGCTCTATTGATTATATATTGAAAATGCATAAATTCTTTAAAAAATAAATAATCTGTCCCTGAAAATGTTGAAAATAAATAATCTGTCCTCCTCTGGAAAAGAAATAATCTATGACCAATATTTAAATATTGTGAAAATACCTTTTTATTTACGTAATTTAACCTCATCTTCACACATGTAGCTATTTTAGAACCAAGTAGTATTTAAAATCAGAAGCTGGATACTTGTAGTCAGTTGATCAGCATGGCAATGTTTTAGATGTGATGAATCACTTTAAATACAAGCCAATTCTTAAACACCACAAAAGATAAATTTTCTTGTCAAAAAAGTATACTAAATTAATACAAAGTATACAGTGTTAGGAAGGCGTACATGTGTATGCTCCCCTAAAATTTCAAAGTATGATATGAATAATATTAATATTGCCATAGTTTAGAAAATATTTTTGTGCAGTTTTACTCTTAAAATACAAAAAAAACCGTCATTGGAATCTCCATCAAAGTATGATATGACTAGTATTAATTATGTCATACTTTGGATATTACATAATTGTGCCTGGTTTTACTCTTAAAATACACAAAAACCCACGATATACTGGACCCCCTTCATTCAAAGTATGACATGACCAATATTAATAATGTCATACTTTGGTACATAATAACCAATACCACGTACATGTATAATTGTCCTGGTTTTATTCTTAAAATACCCGAAAACCCAAGAGATTCTAGGGAATTTCCCTCCCTTGGCCTCCACCAGTGCTTCACCCAGGACCCACTGGGGGCCTTAAGGGGGTTAACACGCCCCCCCCCCCCCCCCCCCCCCCCCCCCCCCCCTCCTGAATCCACCTATGGTATATAAATGATTAGTCTTTTAAAATCATGAATTAATCTGTCTCGATAATCTTGAAAATAAATAATCTGTCCCTGACAGGCATGAAAATAAATAATCCGTCTCAAAAAAATTTGGTATCCCCTAAATTCTTTTTAAAAAAAATCTCCTCTTTACTCCTGGGTATGAAACCAATGAACTATGTACATACACATGTAGTTATAACGAAAAAGGAAGCCTCTTCCGAATTTTTGAATTTCAGGGTCCCTGGATCCGAAGTTCTGGTGTTAGGGCGGGGCTCTAATGATTTTATAGTGAAAAATGCATGAAGTCATTGGAAATCTTTTTTCCTTTGCTCCTGGATATTATGCCAATGATCTAAGCCACGGTACATACTTAAGGTGGCTCATTACATCCACAGTTTATTTTAGATTTCAATACAGCACCACTTATAATGTAGATGTCAAATATCCAGATGGGGTATTGATATTATAAATATTTTTTATAGAATTTTTTAGTTTTTGTCTAATTTTAGTGAAATATTTCATTTCAAGTTTATTATCAACAGAATTTCTTTCAGTGTCAAATGATGGGCATCTTCTGATACACACAGTGAAAATACCTCATAATACCTAATAATAATTTTATTAGAAAAAATAATTTTCTCATAAAAAACAATTAATGTCATTATCTTTTTAATCTATGCATAAAACATTAATAAAATGAGTTCTGAAGAGACAAGGAATGTATTTCAATGAATTACATGTGTCAAATAGAATGAAGAATGTTTAAACGAAATGAAAAATCCAATTTAAAAAATATTTGGTATAAAAAGTTTTCAAGAGTTATCTTTCCTAATTACCCAAGACTCAAAACACTAAGGAACGTTTGACATTACATCTAAAATTCAGAGCAAAGCTTTAAATTGCCAGATTATACATTTAAATCAATAAAGCAAATATATAAATTAACACCAACACAGTAAATAGTGCAAGTAAATAACTTTTTAATTTCAACAAGATTGTAGATTTTAACTCGAATTTCCTCCATACAAACATGTCATTGATTGATAGAGCTCACTGCGTGCATTGCTATGAAATTGACATTACTTGTTTGGCGAAGATTTGACTGTTGTTTTTCTTTTGTTTCTGCTTAAAAGCAATTCTTCTTGGTTTATGCATAATGAATCCGTTACTTTGTTTTCACTGTTTATAACACCTCATGTTTCATCTATTTTTAAAGCGTTTTAAAGGTCAGGGTCATATTAGAGGTACAAAAAATTAACGCAATGGAGGTTTATTTTTTTGTGTAAACATTGTAATGAGCCTCCTTAGTATGGCAGTTTATTATTTTTCAAATTAGGTCTTGGTATTAATCAACCGTTGATGATGAAATAAAATTTATGATAAAATTTCCAAAATTTTGAAATATGTGGCCCTGGATCAGTGGTACACAACTGGTCATAAAGTACAATATTAATGCATTTTCTCTTTGTTACTCTGATCTACCTCTTGGTATTGTGAATTTCATTGCCTCCGGTTTAAAACACGAACCTAGTTCAATTGTTGGAAAGTTGTTCCATGGTGTCAGGTGACCTTCAAGGCCTGTGGGCCTCTGTTAATATTAGTTGTAATGTCACTTTTGCATTAAGAGCAAAAAAATTAAAATAAACATTTCCAGTATGGCAGTTTATTATTTTTCAAATTAGGTATTTGTATAGTAATTAAACATGGTTAAATCATAGACCTAAAGCACAGGCACTTTATAATAATAATTTTTTAACCCATAGTATTACTGAATCAAGCGTCTGTGACCAGGTCTACGGTTAACCGTAAAATTCATTATGCATGTTTCATTAAGAAGGCTGGGGGTTGTCTCCATAAAAAATATACAAAAAAATGATCAAATTTAAAAAATAAAATACATAAATTTTTCTATGACGGTCGACAGCTTCAGATATAATATCTAACAAAAATTAAGTTACATCTTATGGTTTATTTGTTTACCCCAACCTCCTTAAAGCATAATCGTGCAACCCACATAAGGAGAAAACATGATAGGTCAGTAGGCCTGTTATAATGAGGACACATCTGAAATAAACTTACACTTAATAAAAAAAATACAGAGGCATATCAGCTGGAATAGTATCATCCAAGGTCATTTCGCCGTGATCTAGGTCTTTGAGATCGGGTGTAATATTTCATGATGATTGTAGTAAAATGGACACAGTTTGTCAGTCGTAAGCACCCAAAATAGGATACTTCAAAAGAAGTTAACTGCCTTAAAACGACACTATATTTATTAATAAGCACTTTTAGGAATATATGAGACACACAATGGACAAGCATTATAGTATATATAGAGTTTACATGTAGAAAGAAGTACGTATACGGTATGTAGTTTCTGATGATGTATTAAGTTTTCATAGCATACTACTATACTCATTAGAGTGATTCAGTCTTGAAACAGTGTCTAGAATATTTTCTTACAAGTTGGATGGGACCATACTAATGACAAGTAATGTAATGTATACATTTGTTTATGTACAAAGGCATTACTCATGATCACGTGAAACTTGTTGGAAGACTATTCTATATTTTTTGCTCACCTGAGCTGAAAGCTCAAGTGAGCTTTTCTGATCACATTTTGTCCGTCGTAAGTCCGTCCGTCTAGGTGTCTGTCCGTCTGTAAACTTTTCACATTTTCGACTTCTTCTCAAGAACCGCTGGGCCAATTTCACCCAAACTTGCCACAAAGCATCCTTGGGTGAAGGGGATTCAAGTTTGTTCAAATGAAGGGCCACACCTTCATTCAAGGGGAGATAATTGGGAATTAATGAAAATTTGGTGGTATGTTTTAAAAATCTTCTTCTCAAGAACCACTGTGCCAGGAAAGATGAAACTTATGTGGAAACATTCTCAGGTAGTGTAGATTCAAGTTTGTTCAAATCATGACCCCCGGGGGTAGGGCGGGGCCAAAATGGCCGACCAAAGTTTTACATAGAAATATATAGGAAAATTCTTTAAAAATCTTCTTCTCAAGAATAGCAAAGCCATAATTGATCATATTTATATGGAAGCATCCTCAGGTAGTGTAGATTCAAGTTTGTTCATGACCCTCAAAAATCATTTTACATAGAAATATATAGGAAAATTCTTTAAAAATCTTCTTCTCTAGCAAAGCCATAATTGATCATATTTATATGGAAGCATCCTCAGGGACCAAAATGGCCGACCAAAGTTTTACATAGAAATGTATAGGAAAATTCTTTAAAAATCTTCTTCTCAAGAATAACAAAGCCATAATTGTTCATATTTATATGGAAGCATCCTCAGGTAGTGTAGATTCAAGTTTGTTCAAATCATGACCCCCAGGGGTAGGGCCGAGCCAAAATGGCCGACCAAAGTTTTACATAGAAATATATAGGAAAATTCTTTAAAAATCTTCTTCTCAAGAATAACAAAGCCATAAATGATCATATATATATGGAAGCATCCTCAGGTAGTGTAGATTCAAGTTTGTTCAAATCATGACCCACGGGGGTAGGGCGGGGCCAAAATGGCCGACCAAAGTTTTACATAGAAATATATGAGAAAATTCTTTAAAAATCATCTTCTCAAGAATACCAAAGCCATGATTGGTCATGGGACTACTTTTGGATTTAAACTTTTCATTAATAAACCAATTTCTACTTTTTCCCAGCCACAGTGCTCAGGTGAGCGATGTGGCCCATGGGCCTCTTGTTAAACTTATAGTTTCAATAAAATCTGATCAACATAAGCTTCGACTTTTTCCAGTACGATTATTCTTCATGTAATTTCTTTAAAACGAAACAGGCGTGTGGTTGCTTGTGGCATAAAGATTTCTCAAACTCTTATTCGTTTTTATTATTATAATCATTATAAAATTATTATTGTATAATTTTAGAAACATCAAAAATTTCCCCACTTTAATCTAGTATTTCGAAGACGTAATTGCAGAACGTATCAAATTTGTCATCTGAGTCTGTTTTTTAACCTGTGTAAAATGAACAATGTAACTGCATGCAAACACAACTATGAACAAAAGAATGCTACGATTTAAAGTTTAAATCCATTCAATTACATATTGTTGTTATCTTTTGAACCACAATCTGCGAGCAGCAATACAATTGATTTAGCGCCACACAGTACTATCAGATGTAAAGAATTCAAAAGAAACCAACCCGGATGTTATGATGTATTTCAAAACACATTCTTCTTTGTCATTTGACTAATTTAGCTACAAATGATTACAGACGACAATTTCCATTTCTTCACCTTCCCCAAAATTACAAGTTAGAGCGGATTACTATCTGTGATTAAAAAATATGAAAATTGTTTGGGAATTTCTAATGATTTTGTCGGCAACTCTATCGCCTTCTGTTGGTGAACAAATTCCAGATTTGACGGTCGCTTTTCAGCAGTATGTATCTGCCTGTACTTCTAGTCGACTTTGTTCTACAAGGTGGAACGTTTACCCTCCTCTGAAATCAAACGTTACACTTCCCGCGGCTTGTCCCCAATGTGACTGTGACAAGTCCTGTGTTTTTCGAGGGACTTGCTGCCCAGACCTTCTCTTCTCCAAAAAGGCCATTCCGAAGTGTGTGGATGTTAATGTCATTGGAAATGGATCAGTTGGGTACTATATGGTTCCTTCATGTAACAAACAAGACTCATGCTCAGAACAACCGTTTGATGTCAAAATAAAAAATACCCCCGTGAGTTCCATCGAGACATTTTATTCCTATCAAACAAAGGAAATTGCAGAAAAATACGAAAATCCCGACTCTCTGAGACAGTGGGGAGTAGAATTCATTTGTAACAGTTCAGTAGATATTAACTTTATTTCTGATTATTCCGAACTGTTAGAGACTGTCAAAGAAGAAGATTGCAGGGTTATGTATACTCCAAGCTCTTTGGTTCAAGTCCAGAAATGCAGCCCCACAGTTAACACAGTGAGTCATTGTAATAAGACAGGACTATGGAAAATGTATGATTCTGGCGTTGACTGGGCTTGCACAAATCTCGTTCATCAATCAGGAATTTTCAAGAACATTTTCTGCCGCCTTTGTAATCCACCAAGGGTCCCAAAAAGTGAAGTTTCTTTGATATCGGTTTGTAACAAAACTGGATTATGGCGGAATTTTGATAAAGAAATTGAAGTGGCATGTACGTTAGGACAAAAATCACATGTCACATACCCTTTTAAGAACATATTCTGTCGAACATGCAATACTGACAGTGAAAAACCAGTACTATACAAGGAAGTGAAAGGAATTATCTCGGAATTCAATGGAGAACTTGGATATATTTACCATGTTAACATGACCGGCTTCGCAGATGAAGAAGTAACTAAACTCAAACAAATGTTCGAAGCAGACACACTTTCACAGAGTTATTCAAACATGATTTGGAGAGATGGGCAGTGGATAAATAAATCGAAACTCGTAACACAGTACCAAGCAATAACTGGAGGTAGCAAATGCGATCAATCCATTGTATATAGTTGTGTTTGCGATCCATCATGTTTCGAGGACTTATCGAAGAATTGTTGTGTGGATTTTCTTCTTCAATATACTTTGGATTCTCCACATTTCAAATATGCAACAAATTTCTTATTACAAGACCTTGTAGCTATATCATCATGCAATGTTACGAACGTTTTTACGTCCAAATGCCTCAATCCATCTGAAGACTTTTTGGAATCTTTTCCAGTGACAGATATATCAGAAAATCTTCATTTCCGCAGTGTCTACTGTTTTCTGTGCAACCAGAAGAATCTCTCTGACTTTGCTGCAAGCATGAAAAACGTCGTACCATGGAATATTACCATCAACAGCTCAGAAATACTGGACATCCAGTTCTATACCTCAGTTATGGATATCACAAAAACAGCCTCTCTATCCAAACATGACGTCATATTGACTCCTCCAATACCTCACTGGCCAAAGAGACCAGAGAGTGGGTTGGAAAAGAATACTTGTAATAGTACTGGAAGATGGAGAACACTTGATACCAACATATCATGGGCCTGTTCATCATTCTATCTTCCGTTTGAAACATATTACAACGCCTTCTGCAAAATTTGTAATCCAAGTGTAGTTAGTCCAAGCAGAGTTCAAATATGTAATGTCACAGGAAAATGGGATCGTTTGGATGACAAAATTAAGAGTGTATGCGCATCATTTCCAGAGATGAGTGCGTCATTTCCTTTTAAAAATATGTTCTGTAGATTCTGCAATTCTCCTTACACGACCTATGAAGAAATTAAAGTGCAACCTACTAAAGCGGCACCACCCGCTACCCTTCGCGACATCTTCAGCGTCTTCAGTGTATTCCAGAGGGAAGAGACGAGGAAATGCAGTCCATATCACTTTAAAAATGCAGGGGTAATGTTTCATATTTATCTTTACATATTTTATTATTTTCTTTAGATAATATTAAAGTAAGAATGCATTAGAGACATATTTTTTTAGTCTAATAAAATTAGCACACAGGTGTTTGATCTTTTTAACTTTCTTTTCATTAATAAAAAAACCCCACACTATAATGATAACTAAATAGTATAAATTTTTTATTTGTGAAAAGAAAGGTTAAAAACGTTAAGTGCCTGTGGATAAAATGCACTTAACACCGTTTAAAGAAGTTCCTAAGTTGGAAAGCATTATAAAATTTAATAGAAGACTGTGAATAAATTGATTTGAATATTGTTTATTATGTAGGACACCTGTAGAAAAATTAGATGTTATCCAGGAAAAATTCTCACAGAAGAAGGATGTGTTCCTCTGCTTCCAATCACAAGAAATCTCAATTACACCGTCTACTTCAGTGCTTCGATATTCAATTTTACAGGAAAGGGTGTCGCTGAAAATCTGATGCTAGAATTTTTCAGTGTCATCAAGTCAATTATTAAAGTAAATGCTTCAAACATTTTATATCATTCAAAGGCCAAAGAGCTGACGATTAATGGTGAAACAACTGTAGACATTGAAATTAATTTCTTTGTGAAAGATATGATCCAAAGGCTGGAGTCAGAAAAGTCGCTCTTAGAGTTATGGAAAAAGCCCATAAAATATTTAGAAAAACAAAATCCGTATTATTCTGAAATTTTACATTTTTTAACACCAAATAAAACCAATTTCGACAATCAGCCAGACCTTTTGGCAGAAAAAATTCACCCACAAAACGTTTCTCAAGGAGAGAGATCCTATCGTAACGTTATTATTGCCCCTATTATCCTTTGCAAACAAGTTGAACTGAATGAATTTGAAATTGAATTTGATGACAACAACCGGAAGTTGATCAGGATTATCAAATCAGACGTCACGTTAGAGGAAAATAATTACTATGTCACCGAAAATAAGGGCTACGCTGTATGCTTAGACGTGATCTGTGTTGATTCCAATTGTTCGCCGTTGGTTTCGGAGTTAAAAGAATCGGCGCTCCAGGAAGCATTGCGAATATTCACAATTGTTTGTACAGTCCCCTCTCTTTTGTGCCTCATCTTAACATTTACTCACTATTGTCTTTTCAAGAAACTTCGCACATTACCAGGGATTCATGTCATGTCGCTGACAGTTTCGTTATTTTTCTCTCAGTTTTTCTTTCAGTTTTTCCTTAGAAAAGATTTCCAAGGTGACACAGGTTGCCAGATTGTAGGAATGATTATTCACTATTGGTGGCTGGTGATGTTTTGTTGTTATGGTCTCAATGGATTTCTTATGTTTATGGCTTTTAGAGGCAAGATAACCTTTCGGTCTGACGATCGTCGAATAAGCAAGAAACACTTTGCCTTTTCCTATGGACTTCCATTGGCTATTGTCATGCTTACCGTCATTATCAATTTAGCTGCCTCTGGAGATTCGGGTTATGGTTTAGATTCCATATGCTTTCTCAACAACAAAGTTTCTTTGATAGTTACATTTGTGTTGTTGATAGGTATTATCTGCCTGTGGAATATTGTGGTGTTCTGCGTCGTTGTATACAAACTTCGGATGTACCAAAGGACACAGGAGACGCTGGGAATAGATCAAGCGGGCAAAGACATGTTTTCCTTATTTGTCAAATTATTCTCCATTTCAGGTATTTCTTGGATATTGTTCTTGGTTGATGCTTTTATTCCAACGATCACAGTCTTTTCTTTCATTGTAACATTTGTAAACTGTCTGCAAGGTGTTCTGTTGTTCTGCCTGGAAGTCTGCCAAAAAAAATCCAGAAATTTATATAAGAATTTCAGAGAATCGAGGCAGATAACGAGACCGCGTCAATCATTTTCGCAAAGCAGACGGAGTGTTTTGGAGAATGCCAGAAGAACTTTACGAGATCGGTCTAACAGTTCTGAATACGACAACTCGGCTTTTTCCAGCATTGGTGATGACAGTGGCAACACAATTATCTCCACAACATAGTTTGTTCTATTGCTACTAATACTCAATGTCTAAATTATGAAAACTCTGGCTTACTTTATCTGTTTCTTCTCCGTATACCTCTTGATACATGTAATATCGATGTCATGTAGCACTTGTTTGATCTTCTGCCAAATTTTATGAATATCCTTTGTCTAATTTAGAATTTACATTATTGTTACAGTGTAAGTTTTGAATTTACTTGATATTTTATCATGTTAATTTCATACTATCTTTTATGATGTGACGTTCACCTTATTCAACATTTACAACACGCAAGTACAATCAGCATAGGTTTTTGATATTATATATTCATTATTATTTTGCCATTGAAATTTAAGATTATCTTTCATTCCATAATCAACATTTTACATTTTTAAAAAATTATTTTTAAAGACTATTTTTTAAAATTATTTGATTTGTACATGTATTCCAATTTCAACAATTTTTTGTTTATTATAACTCGGATTTCGACAATATAGACGTTTGTAAAACATAATTAATATGTAATGAAATCATTGATAAGTGATATTTTTGACTACTATATTGTTCTTTTTGTAGTCTCATTAGTCACACCTCTTTTAGTTAAAAGGGAAGCCTGCGTGTGTGTCAATATCTACTATAAATGTTATAAATGATTTGGTTTTTTCCCAAAGATAACATTAAAAACTATATAATTATTGTATATCACGTTGTTCTACTCTTTTAATTGTCAAATTTATTAAATTTGAATTTTAAAATCATAGTAAACAAAATTTTGTAAAATTTTGCGAAGGATCATGAATATATCATGCATACAAAATAATAAAATCATTATTTATGAATCTGTGTTTGGGAAACGACGAAAAAAATCTAATTAAAGTGACTGGGAGTCAATTTTCTACCTCTAAAACAACTGTAACATAGAGCATAGTGACTGATAAAATTATGTTCTTCATATTGGAAAAGTTTTAAAGTGAATTGTTTTTGCACTGTCATTAGTAAAAAGAACCTGATACCTTTGTTTGGAAAAATAGCTCCTTACATGTATGAAGGACAATTATTTCACATCTGAATGTGACCTTATTCCTTGCTCAAATACATATTATGTTTAGTAGCCTTGATCACTGTAAAGCAAAACTTATAAACAAAATTGTAAATTTATATCTTGGATTGCTGCTAATTCGTGCCATATCTTTTGCAGCACAGAATGTCAACTAATACAGTCTTCTTTCCAACTCATGCTGAAATCTCGTTTGAAATTTTTGGCTATGTTTTCAACACTCAGCAATGTAGCTTATTGACTCGATAAATATTCAACATTCTGTATTTATGGATTTTTTTTTGGTAACTAACTATTCAATGTACACCCATTCTCAATATAAGGGCTCAAATAATGTCGCCTCATTTTCATTTAAAAGAAATACCACTGATGTAATTTTTAAATCAACATTATAAATAGTCATATAACAATAAATAAGAATTCATATAATTATCGATCTGAAAGGGTATTTAAGGAGTTCCAAATTCAAATATAGTAGTCTATTTGAAATGTACGTTACTGTCGCCGAGGCAAATATTATTCTGAATACCCTCTGTGTAATATATAGTTTTGATTCTCAAGTAAAAATTTTCTGATAAGTTAAACCTTGTATCATATATATTTCTTTTCATAACAATAAATACATTTTCTTTGTGATAATAAATAGTTTTTATTGTGCAATGTCCCTGTCGCTTAATTCCATTTCAGCCACATTACAAGCAAACACAAAGATTATACACCTGATAGTTTTGTTCTCCTTTATTTATTGATGGGCTAAATTTGAAATTTCAAAGGATTAATTACTCCTACTTAGATAATGTAACATGAAAATGAACAATTTGAGCAACTTTTATAAATATGTTTACGGAATGAAAGACATTTTCAATCGTAGAGATAAGAAAGAAATGTACGTTACCTATATTCTTCCATTAAGAATATATATTAAGTAGAAAATATGAGACGACTCTGAATAAGCAACCCCTTGTATCCTGTAAACTGGCAAAGACGTTCTGCTTAACACAATTAAAAATTATTTTTTACATGAAAAGTGATCATTTGAAATGTACGTTACTGAAATGTACGTTACCATGAAATTCGAATTAAGTGAATCTCGCACGAATTTTCATGTATTCTCATACTTTCACACACTCAAATGTGTACACAAAGGAAAGTTTCAAAGGTTGGAGGTCGGCTAAATCCCAAAATTAATGAAAAGAAACGTTTCTGCTAAGGAAAAAAAATATATTAAGGTCCATTATATGTAATATAATTTTGATACCTGGTATATATTTCTGAATACGAAACCTGTATGATGCATTTCTTATGATATGCAAGTTCAAATAGTATCAATATATTGCGTGTCTAACGTACGCTTGTGGAAGAGAATTGATTTTTATATTTGAAATGTACGTTACGTATGGTAACGTACATTTTACTTATTTCTAACTGACATTTTTTTTAATTTAGTCAATGAATTGCGTTTACACGAGCGAAACAAAATTATCGTTACAATCCATTTGACAACTGGCCACATATATCCATCTAAATGCACCCCCAATCCTCGTAAATGTGGTAGACTGTTACCACATGCTGGAAAATTTATTTCTAAGTGTTTTAAATTCATCTTTGGCAACCTTTTTGCAGTTTGTTTACTTTTAATATGCGACTTAATTGTTGTTGATAATTTAAAACAATGTATGCATAGGCTTATAATTGGTAAAAAAAAAAAAGAAAAGAAAGAAAGAAAAAAAGAAAGAAAAAGAAACAAAACAAATAAACCCAGAACACAAGAAGGTCACGTACATTTCAAATACTGAAAGGCACACAATACTCAGTTTTGTTTGAATCATTGCATTTTGGGTTATATTTTTCCAGATCTGCTGAGAAGCACGTATGTTTGTGATTTGAAAAACGATGTTGCAACATACTAAATGATATTGTTAACAAACTGTCGATGGATATATTTGGAATAGATTTATGTTAAGTTTCAATGGCCAAACACGAACATTTGTTAGATCATAGCAAAATACGTCTGACTCTTATATTTTTTTGTCTGTACCCTTGCACACAGGTAGAAGTAACTAGGCTACGACCGGTGTCAATTTCAGCGAAACAGCACAAAAGAATGGTAATGAATTGGGGTGGATGGGACTCCCCAATAATATGTGAAATGAACGTTACCGAAGTGACGTGGCATTCATATAGTTGATGACAAATAACCTCGTTTGTTACATTATGATTTCTTATATTACTGCCTTAAAACGCTTCATTGAAATGATTTTTATGTCAATAATTGCTTTTTTTTCCAATATTTTCTTATTACTAATTTACATATTATTAAAAGCTTGAAATGTACGTTACCTACTCATATTCTGAGGCATTCGTGTCTTTATAGTGGTGATTGTGACATATAACACAATGTGATTACTTAGAGAATCTTTTTGGAATAAACTGAAACAAAACGATGAATTTTTAGATGAATTTTAAGCTTTTTAATAAACAGAAATTTATCTTGAAATGTACGTTACATTTACGTAGTTTTCTAAATCGGCATGGATATATGTTAAAAAAGACAGTAACTACAAAATAGAATTTTACTACATGTACTTGTTAGGTTCCAGTATCTATAGAAAATGACAAGATTCCAAACTGATCGCTCTAAACAAAACAGAGAGAGGAATTTAAAGCATATATTTAAAAAAATGCCTTTATACATCTGGATCAAAAAGTAACCTTTGTTTTCTGAAAGGAAAAATCAAACGCACGTTCGTATACCGAGAAAATATGTTGCTGACAGAGTTGGTAGGATGAGCTAGTGTTAAGATGAGATATTCCAATTGTGATTTGAATGACTACATTTTTTTTACATATCTTTTTGGACATTGAAGAAAGAGTAACGTACATTTCAAGCTACATTTCTGAATAAAATCACCCTCTACTTTATCGTCTTGTCATTATTCCATGTATTAAAATTTGATGAAAAAAAATCTGGAAACAAAATTTTCAGATACTTTCTTTCAAAAGTAATTGATAGAAAAATTGTTATCTTGAACTTCATTTTTTAAAAAATCAGAGAGGCATTTGTGCCCTTATATTGAGAATGGGTGGTAAATATATATGGTATTTTGATATGAATTAGTTGATTTTAACTGGTCAAGAAACTTTAATTATTAAATATACTGGTGCCTTCAGAATGATGCAACCAAGCCCTCTAGCTTGAGAGAACGTAACAATGGTAATCAGAGTTTGATTATTGCACTGCAGAATTTATGCGCGAACGTTCACAGTTATATGTTATATTTATATAAAACATTCAGAATACTGAAAAAAAACTGCATTTAGTTGAGGATAAAATTTTCACGCCAAAAAAAAAAACTATTGTCAACCTTGTCCCCGAGAATGTAGAGTCTAACCCTTCATGAAAAATGAAGAGGGTGGAAGAAATAAGTAAAAAATATACAGATCTAGAACAAACAAGACGCCAGTGAGCCTAATAGGTCACCTGGGCATCATGTAACAACTTTTCAACCATTAATTATGATTCATGTTTTAAACCAGAAGCTATTGCCAATTCTGAAAGAGGCACCAATGCTCATCATAATTACATGTAAAAACATAGCATACCTGGATTGGTTACTTTATACAAATAGGCTGAGTAACGGAATAAAAAAATGTATTTCAGCCTTTCAATTCAGCAATAATCAGTAGTGCCCAACAGATATTCCTCATCCTGTGTCCACACCTTTCACAATTTTGGAAAAGGCACCCTTATTCATCTTATGTGTTTGATTAATATCAAGGAACTGATTTCAAAACATTTATTTAATTCATTTTTATTATATAATTAGAGCCCCTCCCTCTATGGTACAACTGACCCATGGGCCTTGAAATTCACAATTCTTGAAGAAGGACCATTGCTTATCAGAGCTATAGTTAGTAGGTAGTTCATCTGCTTAGTACCTAGGAGCAGAGAAGAGCTTCAAAGAATTACTGTATTTTCACTTTATAATTTATATATCTCCGCCCTAATACCGGAACCCCTAATCCTAGGGCCATGAAATTCATTATTTACAAACAGGCATTCTTCCTCATCCTAACTTTTATGTGGTGAGTTTGTTTAATACCCAGGAGCAGAGACGTAGAATTTTAAAAAGTAAATACATTTTCAGCATAATTTTGGAAGAGGCACCCTTCCTCATTATATGTATGAAGTTAGTTTGTTATTACTCAGGAGCAGAGAAGAAGATTTAATAAAAATAATGCATTTTCAGTATATAATCTATACCGGTATAGCACTAGAATCCTTGACTCTGGGGCCATGAAATCCACAATTTTG